GCGGTCTTAGAGGATTCGGCCCCGGTAGCCCCGGCGGTCCTAAAGGTCCCGGTAGTTATTTTATAGGCCTTAGAAGCCTTTACTTCATTTATATCCCTAATAATATATATACCTATTGTTATAATTTAATTAAGGACTCTAAGTAGTTTACGGGCGAGGAAACAAATATATCTAAATAATATAATTAATTTATTGCCTAATTTATAGCTATTTATACGCGTTAGAAGGTAAATAATTATAATTTTATAAATAAAAAGACTAAGCTTCTCTATACAATAAGTTATTTAAAAGGTAAAGTAAGGGTAATTATTGCTTTAAATATTAAGAAAATTCTAGATAATTTATACTATTCGGCTGTCTAAAATTAGCCTACGGGACGGGAATTCTTAAATTACTTCGCTTTTTATTTTTAATAGGGTAATATCGTAGTAATTTCGGAGAAGGCGATAGCCTCGTTGAAATAAGGCACAGGTTCTAATAGTAAATTCACAAGCTTTAGTAATTTTGAAGTATAATTCACTATACTAGTAGATAAATATAGTTACAATACAATTACTAAGGTCTATATATTGAAGAACAAAGTTAATAAAGACCTCCGTATTGCGATATTATATTAATATAATACCTTTAACTGTAAAAATTAGGACGGATAGGTAAAACTATATTGCGGCTTATTAAAATTATTAGACGACGCCGCCTTTTACAATAAAGGCGGCCAATCTAATAATAGTAATAGTAATAACGGCGGCGGAGGTAGTAATAAATAGAAAAACCCCAAGGCTATAGAGCTTAATTGTATTAAAATAAATAAAATTAACCCCGAAGTTATTTAAGCTTGGTTTGTAGCTAAATAGTATATTAAGTACGGTAAATTAAACTACTAAGCTTATAAGTATTGTAGTTAGATTAACTATAATAGTAAACTTAAGATTATTAATACTAATTTTAATACTAATAAGGGTAATAGAGGAGGTAGTAGTAATAAGGGTAGTAGAAGTAATAATAAATAGTAAGTTCATTTAATAGTAGATTTAATACTTACGAAGGAAACTGCTAAAATGGTTATTCCTAAGATTACTGCTATTACTATTTAGTAAGAAAATAGCGAACCCTCGGATTAAGACGTATCCCAATAGGGACTAAAGGAAGGAGATTATAGGTAATTCTATTAAGAATATAAACATTCAATAGGCTTTTACTTATTAGAAGGGCAAACTTTTATCTATAAATAGTTTAGACATTTATAAATAGAATATTACCTTTTTATTTATTTATTTTTGGTACCCCCTATATAATAATAAAGTTAGCTATATATCCCTAGTCGATTCTAGCTGTACCGGGAAAGCCTTTATCGATAGGACTTTTATAGAAAAGGTATACTTTGAAATATATTAATTCAATAAGGTAAGACATCTCCATTTAGTAGACGGCGGATTTAAAGAGTAGGTCGAATACTATATAGAGATAACAATGCGAATTGAATACCTCCTAGTATACCCTTTTATAGAGTAACCGTCAACAGTACTGAGAGATAGTACATCTTACGGCGGTCTTACGTCTCTTATTCCCCCAAACGGCTTATATATAAACTATATTAGAAACTTACAACAGATAAAATTAGAAGATAAAATAAGAAGGATCTAAGAGACGTTAGTAGTATAATAATTAAACGTTTAAAGAAAAAAACGAGTTACAAGTAAGGAGTTAAACGCGCAAACTCTCTAGACTTATACTAGTAGCAGTTATAGGCGTCCTACGCAAACTGCTATATTATAGGCGTCCCTATAGTACCCCCAATAGGGCTAATAATAGTAAGAATTGTTAAAGTCCTCTATATATATTAATTAGGCTAGTTTACGACGTATAAATAAGTTATTAAGGGTAATAATAGCTCTTTCGGTAGAAGGGTTAAATTTAACAATATTTTAGCTAGTATTCTACCCCTAAGTAAGAATTAGATTAAAAAGGGAGTTAGGCGACTTCCCATTTTAATAGAAGCTTCCTATCTTAATAAAAGTTTTTACTAGCACTTAATTAAATATAATTGTAGGAGAGTTGGAAGAGGCCTACTTTGCTAATAATAATAGATTTTTGAGCAGGAGCTTCGTTTTGAGGGGGGGTAGTATTATAGGTATTATTACTATGTTCCTATATATAAATAGGTGCTATACTGCAGTAGTATAGTCAGCTATACAACTACCTAAATATAATATAGTAGTTACGTACACACGTGCTGTAGTCTGTATATTAGACTTACAGTGTACCCTATATAGTTTTTGTACGCGTATAGGATTCTCTTCCTATTCCTCGTACAACAATCAAAGTCTTAGCTTAGTGCTTGCTCGCGCCCCGTGACAGGTTTAACTACGACCTCTATATAATATTTAAGGACGGTATTAAAAATTTTCTTAAAATTAAATACGTAATACTAATAATATAATTAAACTATAGTAAATATACCTTTTAACCCCTATTATTATAATTAAACTAACTAATATATATTCTAAACCCTCGGTTTAATACTATACTTAAATATAACGTTACTAAAACTCTCGCTTCTATAACGGGCAATACTACTACTAATAGTCCCAGTGAGGGATAACAATATTATAAATTAATTTATAGCAAAAAAAGTGGGTTTCGAGTATTTTAGTATTATTATATAAATAAATACAATTTCTAACACTTTTAGCACTTCTAGCATTTCTAATATTTCTAATATATAATTTAATTTAATACATATAAATTCATCTCTCCCTTCTATACTCTCTACCGCCGCCCAAATACAATACCCATCTCTCTATACTCAATTAACTTATTAATATACAATTCCCTATACTCTTTATTAATATTATTAAATCGATCTATTATTAATTTTATATTCTTAAAATAACTACGGATCTACTATACTTTATACTCTACGTTCTACGCTAATCGCTTAAAGAATGTAATAAAATCGTTGTTTAACATTTTATTACTACCCTTATTATAATATACCCTCTTAAATTACTACTTAAAATCGCTAAAATATACTTCGATAGGGTTAAACTCGGGAGAGTATAGTAATAAATACTATAATAAAACCCCCTTTTAATTATACGTATACTAGAATTTAGTATAAAGGTACTAATTAGTATTATTTATTACTAAAATACTATTACAATTAAAAAAATAGATTTATTTTAAAGAATAGACATTTCACTATCCAATTCTAGACCCCGGCTAAGTCCGTTACACTTCTAAATACTAGTATATTAAATAGTCCATCTACTATAATAATTAGGAGGAAATAATACTATATACTATAGATAAACTTACTTAATACTATTATAATAGCGCTACAAAATACCCAACTAATACAACGAACGCTATCCCTTTAATTTATACTAAACTCGTTATAAAATATAAACATCTTTATAGTAAATAAAGAGATTTTTAATATCCATTCAATTATTAATATAAGGGATTATTATAATACCTTTATATAAAATCGCTTCTTCTTCTACTTCTTCTATCGAAGGTACTGCCGTACAATTTCAATCGAAATATATACGTTATACTTATTAACTAAAAAGGCACAAATCTCATCGAAGTATAAATTAAATTTTAATACAAGAAAGTTTATAACTTCCTTTATAATATTAATTATAATTAATAAAATATAAGGAATAATATAATATATACTATACCTTAAGCGCTTATATAGAAAGCTTTCTAACATTTTAAAGAGCTCGCAACAATAGAAATACCTTACTAATATCTAATAGAATACGCTTATATTTCTATATACTCCTTATACTTATACTAACAATCTCAGTGATATCATTGGGATATTCGTTATTTACTAATATTATCATTATTAATACCTTCTAACGGATATTAGAGTAGTATACTATATTAATAATAGTTTAAAAGATAATATAAATATTAAAATAGATAATTATACGACGTAGAGTATTAAAATATCAACTTTTTGCACCAGTTTTAGCCAGATTTTAATGTTAAACAATTAAATTGAATTGTATAAAGCGATATCAAATGGCCAGATTTATCAAATGCGGTGTGTGTGTGTGTATGTGCACGCACACACCCCGCCAAGACTGCACAGGCGATTGAGTGTGGGAATGAACCAACCCTTCCCAGGTCTCCACTCCGCTTGCAACTCTCACTTTCCCTCCATGATCCATGCCACTCATCATCGTTCGAATCCAACGACCGATCAAAACAAAACTTGCACCAGCCTACACCTCGCTCGCTTCTTTGCACAGCCAGCAGCCTATCAAGCTTACAGCGGGGTTAGGGGCTTGGCAGGAATGTCGATCTTTTCTCCTTGTCGACATTTCGCTTCGCATTGATCCAGACTCCAGCGCGTCGTCTTTTCCCCATCACTCACTGCCGTCCAACACCAAAATGTCTTGTGGCCATCAACAAATGGGAACAGATGGACCTGTCTCTAACTTTCTGTCTTACCCCAAGCATTGCCAATTCTTGAAGCCATGTGTCATCCTATTCCGACTACATACCTAGGGAGACGACTGCCAAGGGCGGCGGCAAGCCTTCCACTGAGCATGTGGTCAACTAACAGGCACCAGGTCCAAATGCCATTTAAACTCCCAAAAAGGAGAGTTGCACAAGCGCACACAACAACAGCCCCAAGACCCAGGTCTACTTAGATGGGCAGGGCTTCCTGGGACGGTGGGACGCACAAATAGGAGACGGAGCCCGGCGGTGCCGCGATGGTGGTTGAGACGGTAGTCGTAAGTTCGACAAGGCAGATATTGAGCCAAGACCTACGACCCTGTGCAATATCTGTGGTGCGTCTGTACCTAATAACCACCTCACCTCAACTATTGTCTCGTCATCCGTGAAACCTCACTCGATTCATCTGGCCGCACCACTCATGGTCCCATCCCTTGGCTGAGGACTACCATTTGCTTCACGTTGATCTTTTCGCTTTTACGACTTTCGGACTTTATTCTTTCCACCTCAGATAACGGGACCTACACGTCCCGTCCCGCTCGCTGAGCTAACTGAACTACACTAGACTGATCACCAACGACACATGCAACTAAATGCAGTTGCGCAATACTTACTTTGACCGCAATCGGTAGCTGGATCGACTTGAGCAGTCCCTGGATAGACTCACCTAACCCACTTTTCTGGGCGCGCCTGACATCTACATAGGTAGTGTATATCAACCGCGCAAAAACTCAGAGGGCGCATTACCCAATTCTCACCATTCAAAATTGTTGTCTGATATGTCGATCTGGTTGCTGTACGTGAACTCTTCCCTGTGAGTACTCCTTGTGATCGCTGCTTACTGTATAGTGTAGTAAAGTCAGCGGGCGCGATGAGCAGCTAGAGGCAGAGATTGGCTGCGCGCCCGCCCAAAAAAAGAAAAAAAAAGGGTATAGTCAATTCAGGGACTGTTCCAGTTTTCAATCTATCCGGCGACCGAGTTTCGCACTTGAGGTTTGACAGCAGCGATGATGTGTCTTTCTCTCGGGCTCCGCTACGCTTAACTCGGCGAGAAGGAAATCTTTTTTTTCCCTAGAATGATTGATTGACAGTCCGATCAAGAGTCCCATCCGGACCATTTCTCCTGCCTGTCCATTACACAATTCGGCAATGGAAGGCGCTAGAGGGTAACAATGAAGCCACCTCACAGGTGCTTGATACCCTCTAGCTTGATTATGTGATTGATAGTCCACTCAGATCCCCACCCGTTTCTTACACTGGGACCCTCACATGCAGGACCCTTCCGTGACCTGCATAAAAAGGGATCTTTTTCATCACCACGATCGTCATCCGGCCTCACCAAACAAAGTTAAGCCTTTACCTATCATTGTCTCTTTCCTACTTACTTTGTAAGATAGCGCCATGCCGCCATGCCGCCAACGCTACACTAAATCGTGCGTTATGGTAGCGCCATCGAAGTAAAGCAAAACAAAGCGGAGCGGAGCGGCGACGACGACGACGGCGCGCCGCGAAGCGAGGCTCGGCGTGGGAAGGGGACGGGCGGTTGTCTCCGCAGCGCTGCAAAGAACCTAAAAGCGCGGTTGGAGCGGGAATGGAGACACGATGAGGGAAAAGACATTTGGGATCGATTTTGGCCACGAGAGTGGGAGGCCCTAAGCGGGTGTTTCACGATCCGTTAGTGCTTATTGTCGCGATCTGCAGGCGAGTTGCGTGCTATTTTCAAAGCTCTGGTTGTGGAGGGGATGGTTGGTGTTATGAATTTTTTATTTATTTTTTATTTTTTTAATTTTTTTTTCTCTTTTTGGCCCTACAGGGCTATAGGAGCAGCATCATCACCCAACGGTTTCCACTTGGTTGTATCGTAGGTTTCTTACTTAGCGACTCCATGGATGGTAAGAAGAAATGGGCAAGACAGCGCCGTGCAAAGAACAAGGCAACGCGAACAGCGAAAGTACACTACAGCGCATCCATACTACACTATGTACATCAACAAGTAGGTGATCTTTCTCGCAATTTAATTCAAGGCCCGGGTTGTGTAACTTTGCGATGACTTTCCTTCTGTTCCAGTGAGTACAATGACCGTCGCAATTACGACGGAGATAAAAGGTCTCAATGTCAGAAGCAAGACAGGACAGGCAAGCAAAAACCTAAGAGTCAGATTGTACACTGAGTGTACTATGTAGGGCGTCTGTGATACCGAAGCTTTGAGTGGACGAAATTGCAGCAAAACAGCCCAATATAGTAGAAGCCCCTCCTATATCAATGCAACTAATGCCGGCGGCCCAAACTTTTTGCGAAGGGTACTCGTCCGGGCTAGAAACGCTTTGCAAAAGCAAAATCACAGACCAGAGACGACTACTGTAGGCCTTTGGCCACTGGACGACCGCCCCGAGCCGCAAAAGTGGGTCTGATAGAGCGACTTATACCCCCGGCCCGCAGGTGGTGTGGAAAATAGTCCGGACATTTTTGGGTGTGGTCAGGTGTCAGCGTGTCCGGACTATTTTGCAACCTGCCTGCCCCGCTATAAAGGTATAAGTACGCCCTGCCACCAAAGCTAGACCTCTGTTAATGCAATTTCGCGTCGTCAATCATTGCAATTGCACATTGCAGTCTTATCCACCAGAGAGCATGCCGCCGTTCAAAATCCTTTTACAAAAGAGGGGATCTGTAAAAGGTAGTATTTGCATGAAACAGAGGTTTCTACTGTAGTGGGTGGCGTACCTAGCGAGGCACTGCAGTGCCTTAAATTGTTCAAAATGTAACGACGGTACGGATAATTCCTTCCGATGCCGTCGACGACGTTGAGGCAAAATGTAACGCATGATCTTTTCCACGACCCGAGATCTCGATCGTATTTCCCGCGCGAGCTAGCGTTTAACTTTGGTCCTTTGTGGTCTGCGAGCAATCGATTGTTTACATACTACCCCAAAGGAATCAACTGTCGTCAAGATCGCGAGATCATTTGAGCAGCGAAGGGTTTACGACTCCACAGCACAACCTCCAGAGAACCAAGACGTTGAGCCGACCGGGTGTCTGGCGGTGGGCCGCAAAGTAGGGTGAGATCATGGATGGGTGTTGAGGTCGAGACTTCGGGTTCCCCCGCGCCCCAAACGATGAACTCCCCATTTAGGTACGTCAACAAACCTCTTCAATCCAAGGAACTCACCCGATTGATCCATTTCGTGCCGGCATTGGATGCAAAGATACTGTAGTCCTGTTCCTCTCGGAGCATATTCTCAAAAAGAAACTCCGCCTCATCAAGCGCTCTATCACGACGTCAGCATCGCACGATGGAAAGTGTCTCCCAATGCTACTATCTATCCACTTCATCTCCCCCAATCCCGTTTCGGTCTTCAAGATCGCGATTGGATACGTCGTTGGGTTGGATTCTTCATATCTCAGCAAGAGGTTCCTTTCTGCCGCCACTTTGTCCGTGACCTACAACCTGGTATTCGGCCCTTCGTGACTTCGTTGCCTGGCATATCTCCCCGTTCCGAGTTCACATTGATCGCGCGGTACGGATTGATTCCAGCTGCATCCGAACCAGAATGATATCTGGGAGCGCAACAGCCAAGTTACACTGATGTTCCGCATCTACATACTTGAGTTATCTTAATCTTGTCATTAACGCAGGCGATGAATGTTCCGGCCATCGACGCCGCCATTGACTTCATCATACAGTATTGTCGTCATCGCGAGGCCGGTCGGCAAGCTCTATAAACATCATATCTCTAATATAACAACCAGTCTACATTTTAGGGACATGATCGGCGAGTACTACGCTCCTCCTTGGTCCGCACGCATTTGGGTACTTCAAGAAGTTTACTAGTGTATGGGGCGCGAAGCATGCGGGATGAACGCTTCCCCGCCTTGCTCATCTGCGATATACTGCGTAGTATAGACGACTCATCGATCGAGTGGCCGAAGTTTCCGATCGCTGCACATAAACGTTGATTCTCGCCCAGCAGCAGAGACCGAGAACTGGTACATTGGACTGCCCACAGTCGCTGCTTTGCTCCTCGTTCTTCGCGTCGTACTCCGTGGCTGAGGAGACTCCATCTCCGCTGACGACAAAAACTGGAGTTGGCTGCCATACGTGGCTGATGACTGATATACTTTTGATATATTGTGTTTTGCACGAACCAACAAGGCAACTGATCCTCACGACAAACGATTCGCTCTGTTGTCTCTACAGGAGTTTCTTACAAACAACTTTCCACTGAAGCCTAACTATGGCAGATTTTTAGCAATGCATGCGTGAAAATCGCAGTGTGGTTGTTGCAGAGGGTAGGTCTGGTGATTCTTTGCTGTTGCGGAACGATACCGGAAGATTGTCTCAGTGTGCTCGAGGGACTCCCTTCATAGATGCCCGACTGGAGTGAGAGGTATTTGGAACAACCAGTTTGGAACAATAAATAATTGGGTCCGGGGAGGTATACACGCCTTTCCGGGCACGCGATGATCCGCAAGTCTCCTATCAATATTGGTCAGCTCTATCTCAAACGGTAGCGAAGACAATACTTAACGCAAGTATCCATAACCGTGGGAGGGCAGTGCTTAAAGTACGTGGCGTGGCTAATGAGAAAATGAAGTTTGTGATTGGTCATATTAACATAATTATGCTGAAGACAACGAGTGTGGAGATTTCGTGAAGAACCCGAGGTGCCGATTATATCACGATAGTTTGAGTTTGAAAGCGCAACGCAGCAGATAGACACATGCGACTTACAGGAGCAGCTCGTCTTCCAATGTCTCGACAATGGACACCCAAAACAAGAGGGAACAAACTTCATCCACTTGACTCGGCTGTATACGGGTATGGACTTCCGCTTAAGAACCCAGAAGCTTTGCGAGATCATGAGGTGTATTGCTACATTAGTTTCTTCACAGCCAATAGGCAGTTGGCTATGACGGACAGGGGTTACTTTGGGGTTGCTCCTCAAAGATCTTCAGTTGGAGATCAGGTGTGTTATTTTCTGAGCGCTGGTGTTCTCTTTGTTCTAAGGGATAGGGATCATGGAACCTACACGCTGATCAGGGAATGGCGTATATGCGTTTTGATGGAAGGAGAGGCGTTTGGCGGTGCGGTGCAGACAAGGTAAACGATACGGTAACCTATGATCCACTGCGTGACTTTTTGATCTGTTGATGAACTCTGGACTGAGCCAGTATGCACAGGGTGCAGCGAATGATGTCGATTACTATTACTTAGGTCTATTAGGTAGAGATATAACTGCGAGTCGAGTATTACCTCGCATCAGGTTTGTGTGCTGTGATCCCGATACCTATTGTCCAACAGAACCAACGCAGCGTTGTTCCAACTCGTAGCCTTCCTGCATCACGGGTGGAAATAACGTCCAGAAAGAACGTAGAAGAATACCACCATACCCGATAGCGCCACCAGGATCAGAAATATGCTGCAGCATACGTCTGCAATGGTCCGCAAGTTTGGCTTTGGCGCTCCTATGTCACTGTCCGTTTCTTTCTGCCACTAGTAGAGTCCCTGGAAGCTACCCGTGCCGTCTTGGGGGTCATGGCTCTGCTGCTCTAGGTCAAAGCTATGAAGGTATGTTTGCAACGATTTTTGTGGAGTTTGAGGGAGGGCTTCTTGAACCAATGTTGTCTCTGAAGGTGCCTCTTCGGAGTGGATAGATGTCTCCAGCCTAGAAGGAGATGCTGGTATAAGCGTGAAGCTAGGGCTTGGAAGAGGCGGATGTACAGCTTGCGCTGTCAATTGCGGCATGGTGTTATTTTCAGACATCGTCGTTGTGCTTCAAGGACGTTTCAAGTACCCACAACGGGCCTTCAGGAGGAGACAGAAGAGGCTTGCGGTCGAGTACGAAGAGCGATAGGCAGGAAGACGGGAGTTCTTCAGCAGGATGATGGTAGTTAGCAACGGTGATTTTGGGGCGAAACAGCTCAGTTGTAGTACTTGCTCTTTGAGAAGCGCAATGCCGTGGTTCAAACGTAAGGCCCGGTTCGGACGTTGGCTTGGATGTGAAGGTATCTCGAAGGCCGCCGTCGAGCCCGCAACGGTGGAAAGCAGTTACTGTACCAGTATTGGCGGGGCTGCTCAGGGTATCAACCCGAAGTACGGCAGCAATCGTGGGTTGGCCGATGATAGCGACAAAATCCTGGTGACAGAGTAAGGGAGTGACCAGACGGTCAATAATTGATCGGGTCTAGTGATAGAACTAAGTTATACTGCGGAAGATGAACCTGCTCATCGAAAGAGAACATGATCGGTAGGCTCCCGGCAGACCACAAAACATCGCATCATCCTGATTTTATAACCCATCGCTTTGCGATCTTGCCCTATCTTGTGTTCTTGCCCATTTTGGGTCAAAGCAAACAATCAAAGATGGAAAGATGGACGGGAAATACCTACCTCTAAAAATGGAAGGTGTATCGCAACCCCGCGCGACTTCCAGGTACGGCTTGGCACCTGTAGGGCAGCACAGTTGTGACAGGGCAGCAAGGGGCAGGTACCCCCGGGCGGATCATGCCGTCTGACGTGAGAAGGTTAATGACTCCAGCTTCTTTCCCACAAACTCCACCGGTCCCCAATTTCCTCTTCCTTGTCCTGACCAACATCTTGAGAGGAAACATCAAACCTTTGTCATCGTCGGGAGTTCGCCAAGACACATTACTGCCAGCGAATCGCAACGACAAACTCACAAACGGCCGGAATGATCCCAACAATGGCGCTAATTGGGAAGCAGCTGAATCACTCGCATCAACGGATCAGCGCCGTGATGGACGACGAGACTGGGATTGCACAGACCATGTAACCCCATATAGCTGGCTCAGCTGGCGAACCTCGGCCGGGGCAAGAGATTTGGCGATGTTGCTGTGAACGCGCCGTCAATATTTAAACGCCCATCCAGCCCTCCTCCGCCCGGGCCCCGTTCTCCTACGCGATTGTATATACGACCCCGGGCCGCAGTGCTAGCTACGCCGAACCGACCCACGCACAATGGCCTCCGACGACTCCACTTTCGACATCATCATCACCGGCGCCGGTCTGAGTGGCATCAACGCCGCCTACTTGTTGCAATCCGAGTTGCCTAACCATTCCTTTATCATCCTTGAGTCTCGCGACCATATCGGCGGAACATGGGCCTTCTGGAAATATCCCGGTATCCGCTCCGACAGCGCCATGGCTCTGTTCGGCTTCCCCTGGTACCCATGGACCAAGGACATTAACATGGCTGATGCCCATCTCATCAAGAAATATATGGAGGACGCTGCTGCGTCCCAGGGGATTGACAAGAAGATACGCTTCAACCACCGCGTCACGTCAGAAAGCTGGAGCAGCGAGGAGCAGAGATGGACGTTACACGTCGATGTCACTTCCGGTGACGGCACCGTTCTCGAGAAGAAGATCTTCAAGACGCCATGGCTAGTCAACGCCACCGGGTACTACAGCTACGAGAAGCCTCGGTCCACTGTCATTCCCGGCATAGAAAGATTTCAGGGTGAAGTGGTACATCCCCAATTTTGGAATGACGAGGTGCAGTACGATAACAAGCGCATCCTCATCATTGGCTCAGGTGCCACCGCTATCACTCTCCTTCCTGCCCTCGCCAAAACTGCCAAGCATGTCACTATGCTCCAGCGTAGTCCATCATATGTCTACAGCTTGCCAGCCAGAGACGAGCTTCAACCGTTCATGGAAAGATTCATGCCAATCCAATGGGCGGGGAAGATTAACTGGTGTATCAGGATGGTCGCCGAAACTCTCTTTGTTCAGCTGCTTCTGAACTTCCCCAACTGGGGAAGGAAGCTTGTCGTTGACGAGATGCGCAGGCAGCTTCCCAAAGGTTTCGATGTCGACAAACACTTCAACCCTCGGTACAAACCTTTCGAGCAGCGTGTGTGCCTTTGTCCGCAGGGAGACTTCTTCAAGGCTTTGTGTGGCCCGAACGCTTCCGTTGTTACCGATCATATCGAGACCGTCACCGAAGACGGCATATTGCTCAAGTCCGGTGAGACCCTTGAAGCCGACATGATCATCACCGCCACTGGTCTATACATGGTTCTGCTCAACAAAATTGACGTCTTTGTTGATGATGTCCGCATCAATGATACCATCGGCCAGCGGTACATGTGGAACGGAGTCATGCTCGAGGGTATCCCCAACACAGGTGTTATCACGGGGTATGTGGCAGCCACTTGGACTCCTGGTGCCTCCACAAGGACACGGCAGTTCATCAAGGTCATTAAACATGCGGAAAAGACGGGAGCCACCATTGCCACCCCTTATATCGACGAGGCCGAGCGCGCACGACTTCCCAAGAAACCCTGTATTCCTAACAGCTCGACCTACATCACAGAAGTTCGTGACCGACTTCCTCTTGTCGCTAACGTGGGTCCTTGGAGGAACGGAAAGAATTGGCTGGAGGATACCATCCGGCTTTGGTTCGGGTGGGTCACAACCGGTATGCGGTTCACTTCATGGAACCGAGCCAAGAGCGATTGAGTTATCGCCAGTCCTCCATGTTTGGATATTGGTGTAGAAACGCCTGGCATCTCCAGTTGGGCGAGTCCTCTTGAGCCATGCTACGTCCTCACACGTTCATATCCTTATCTTGTGATACCGAAGAGATAGTAATGTAATCCAGCCAACCTTCATTTCTCCCTTTACGGATTCTGGAATGTCCCAGTCACCTTTTCTATGATTGAGCATGCTTTTGTCTCCCTTTTAGCCGTCGTACTCTTGGTTCTCTCTCAAGTGACGGAACCCGCTAGGCCATATACCTTGCTTGCCTGGGCATAGAATGCCCTTGGGGTCCAGTGTGTACCGTCCAATATGGTATTTCTTCCCTCATTTGAATTTTTGACTGGTGAAGACTTACCTTGATATTCTCAACAAAGCGGTTGTAGGTGTGTCCGTTGAGGTTCGTTCAAGCCCGCAATCAGCGCTGTCAAGTGATGCATCAGCAACTTTTCGATCCTGCTCTCGACACGCCAACACTCACCCATGTGGTTGACATGTGCTCTATATATATGCCATACCCCCTTTCTTTCGCTACAAGAAGAAGCCTTCGATGAAGGGGCCGTAGGTGAATATGGATAAGAAGGGGTTGAGTGGCTCGTTGGCCGTGATCCCCTATTGTCCCATACGGACGAGGTTGCCGGAGGCGAGCATGACTTCTAGACCACCGAAAAATGGTGATGGGTGAAGAGGGCGCCAAGCCCGATGCCGCAATCTAGGGTCTTGAGGTCGGTCTCATTAAAAGTATTTCCGTTGTCTAATACAATTGTAAGATGGGAGAAGAAACCCAGATTCCCCATCACACTACCCCCACTCCAAGCTCGCCGTGCTTGGCCAAACTTTCTTTCTGTATCCGACACAATACCGGTACAGATCAATGAACAGTTACACCGGGCTCCATGATCGCGTGGTGATTTGATCATTCACTTCGATAACATTATCCATCCTATGCGAATCCAGCGCCACGGAACCCTTCACTCTCGGCGCCGGTTCGCCATATCTCAAGTTCTTGCCCCGTGAGAAAGGCCATAGTGGGATGGTGAACTTGTTGGCAATCTTCAGTATGGCGCTCAGCTAGTCCGTGAAGCCATGGCAGACGGTTACGCTGGGGACTTTGCGCCTGTCCGTTGCTGACTCTGCCTCGGGAAGGTCGTACGGGGCGATGTAACCGGGAGAGGGCAGAGTCGATGAGGACGGCATCTTGGCCGAGGACGGAGATGAAGGCTTGGATGGCTGTGGTCCAACGAACTCTGTGAGTGGTGCCGGGTGAAAGGACGGGGTTGATGGGATAGTGAGGGGTTGCGCTCGTAGGTGGCTTGTGAGTGGCTTCGTACCCGAGATCGGGGTCGGGGTAGGTGCGGGGGATTGGGGTTAACATCATGGCTACCAAGGTACTTGTTGGTGATCAGCATTCGAAAGCAGTGTGACCTGACCATGTGAGAGGCGTGTGTCATGATCTGCCCTGCAGAGATCGTGAATCATCTGAGATATTGGATGGGTTATGGAGGGAAAACAGTATCACAAATACAACCAAGCCTAGAGTTGTCTCAATTTCCTCTCATTGAGGAGGCTTTCAATGATGCTGCATATATCTGTCACCGGCAGCGGTTAATATGGATTGAAGCGTAAACGGCATATTTCTGGATTGCCGCGAGAGTTTCTCGGGGCAAATTTGGCCAGCAACAAACTGTATCGGAGTGCAGCGAAATGTGTATGTAGAGTCTTGGGGTACCTAGACCGAGGAGGCCAAGAGAACAGGGTTTCGCCCGCTGTGATGCGGCTCCCATGTTGGAGGCAGGGAGGTTCCGAAGTCCGGGAGTGTGACGAAAATCGAGACTGGTGTGTTAAAACTCAGCATCGCGTTGGCGATCTATTGTTCCAGACATGACATCACAGTCCGGCTTTTAGAACATGGCAAATCGCGTACGCATGACTAAGCAATCTTCCACGATGAGCGGTAGGTAACTTACTTGAGATACAGAAAGTCGCATCATGTTGCCAAGCTCGAACAAAGCAATGATGATGCCCGAAGATGAAGCGAAGATCGCGCAAAAAGACAAGATGAAAAAAAGGGAAAAAAAAGAACCAAAGGAGTGCGAAACAGCCCAAAAGAGCTTGGAAGCCCGACGTGGGAATCGAACCCACAGCCTCAAGATTAGAAGTCTTGCGCGCTACCGATTGCGCCAGCCGGGCTGTTGTTGTTTTCATTTTGGTCCTGTTTGAGTCTGATAAGGTGTGGAGGCAGCAAAAACGATCTCGATCCTTCTTCCCACAAACGCTCTGTCAGTCGGCTGTTGAGAGCCAAAGTTCCTCGCGCCCAGGAGCATTTGTTTTTTTTGCTCCACCGGGAACATGGGGGCCCGAAAACATGGGTGCACCATGATGCATCCGTCTACTGGTGTACTGACGTTGTGCGCTTTGGGCAGTTCGCTTTCAGTCCGTCGGCAAGGAGTTATGGTAGACGACAAGCCAAGACACCACTGGGGCACTGTGGTATTGACAGGCGGATGCAAGCTGCTGCTGCAAGTGGAATCAAAAATGAAATCCCCCTCATGTTCACTCCAAGCGAGTTTGTTGGAACAATTGTACAACCGGTCAGCGCGATGGGAGATACCTCCTATTGAGCGTTCACTAGTGTAGGTACGTTTGGCTACGCCAGCTTTGAACTCGATACTACAGAACTTGGAATTCAAGGGCATTTGCGGTGGACGGCGATGGGAATTGGTGTAGTGTACACCTTTGCTGGGATGTACATGACTTGTTAACTTGGTAGGGTAGCGCTACAGAAAACAGGGGGTGAGCGGGCCAAAAATCGATTGATTCTTGTGTCGAATATAAGGTTCTTCGCTACCTTGGAGAACCACGCTAACAAGTCATATCCCAGCAGAGCTCGGTGTACGCAGTACCTTATAGCCCCACACAGTCGCTGTAACGACCCGGGCTGCCCCTGGGCCCTGGAGGGCGTTCTCCTGGGCGCAGCAGCGGCGCGGGGTCTTGCCCGCGTGCCCGCCTTGCGGTACTGCAACACCGTGTCAACCTCACGGCTCCGGTGCGCGGGGACACCTTACCGGGCACAGCCGGAGCTTGTCAGCCCGGAGGGGCATTGAGTCACATTGATACGGCGGCATCCAAGTTTCTTAATCCTGAAATATAAGACTGGCTGACGGTGCGCATAATCAAACGTAGGGGTAGAAAAGCAGGACAGCGGCGGGTAGCGATATCACTTACCAAGCCAAATCGACATAGTAAGCCACCAACCGAAAAAAAAAAAAAAAAAAGCAAGTCGAATAATATGGCATCACAACAACCTGTCGTCCGGGTGGGCGTCGCGGCGATCATCAGTGATGCGGAGGGGAAGATGTTGGTGGGAGTGAGAAAAGGGTCCCATGGATCGGGTACGTACCTCCTACGTCCAGACAGCCCTCAACTCTTTTTCCTTTCCCTGTCTGTTTCACAGACTTTCACGGATGTCACGGACCTCATCGCATGTTCCTAACAGCATCATTTATGCTTACACGAACCGCCTTGACTGGGCAACAGGAACGTTGCAATTTCCCGGTGGCCATCTCGAAGTCGGCGAGGACTACTTGGAATGCGCCGAGAGAGAGACGCTTGAAGAGACGGGCCTAAAGGTTAAAGCCGAGAAAGCCCTGGCCTTCACCAACGATATCTTTGATGCGGAGAAGAAGCACTACATCACTATCTTTGTTTCCTGCCGGAGGGATGATGAACAGAAGCAGCCTGTGGTAAGTCTATGCCAGCCAGTTGTCCATCCTTTGGAGGAATATGCTCGCTAACTTGGTTATCTTCTGAAGGTAATGGAGCCGGAGAAGTGCGAGAGCTGGACGTGGAGAAGTGAGGCTGAGCTCAGAGAGTTCATGGCCACTGAGGAGGGCAAGCAGCGGCTCTTTTTGCCAATTGCCAACTTGTTCAACGATCGCTTGTTCAAGGAGCATGGTAGTCTGACGGCTTCGATTTGAGAGGGTCCATGGCTGGGAAGTTCACATATCCGACCGCAACGCATTTGTTCTTCAATACAGCAATATGCAGTTCGCCATGATGAGAAACAGCTAGCTCGTGTTGTGTTTACATCCGAGTGGTAGTCATGGCCAGAAAAAAAGGGGGAGGGCCCGTGCGCATGGTGTTCATGACATCGAGCGTTGGCGCAGATCCAGTGTTTGAGCGAGATACACTATATCTGTAATTCTGGGGTTCCTTCTTTCGTTACAGCTGGATCTGGCAATCATTTTCCTCCGGATGTAAGTTGAGGATGTCGCGGCTCAGGTGAATATGGCTGAAATGCTCTTGTTTCTAGGGGTTCAGTTTCTGTTCACTTTTCACCCAAGCCATCTCTCCACTCGTTCCAATTGCAGCCTACCAGGACAGTCTTAGACGGGCCAGACGTGACCGCATCTCAAAATAAGCATTGCCCTTTTCCTAAGAACCTCAATGTTCTGGACGGCGGTGGAAACTCGTGTCCGCCGTGATGTGCAAGACCTGTTGGGCAACGTAGAGCTTATGGGGTCTCTCAATTCTGTGGAGTGTGCGTGGAAATTGCTAAAGTGTGCCCCTCTAAAAAAAATGCGAGGCCATGGAGATTTCTGACCCATGCTGTTCGATATATTCTATATGCACCTAGATAAGGACGAGTTAGTTTACCGACTTAAAAAACACTTCATTCAATGTTGTTACGATTCAGGGATCCGTTGAGCTGCAAGCTTTGGGTCCAGGAGGAGACTCAGGGGATTATGTTGACTTTGTAGCCAGCTGAGCTTGTCATCTTCTCACCACTCGTTTCACGAGGCCTGGCCATAGGAGTAAACGAAGATAACCTCCACTGCGCAGCAACGGAGAATTTTGACAAGAGAAAAAGACGGTGAATGAATCACGCAAGAAACAATTCATCACATGACACCGCAGAGATCAAGTGTTATCCGATAGAAAAACGAAAAGAAGGTCAATAGTGAATGCCCCGCAGTGCGGTCGGCTTGGGTACGTACACCGTACAGATTGCATCACCCAAAGTGAGGTGTTTGAGTTTCAACCATTATGGCCTAATTGTGTTTTTTTATTACTCTTCTCTTTTAGTTTTCTTCTTTTGGTGTCGACAGCACGGGCCTTGATCGAATTCGACAACCGTCTTCTGTTTTTTCATACCGAGGCCCTGGCACATCAAGAAATTACGGTCTATTTACATGCACTAGAATGATACTTTCCCGACAGAGCCTATCATTGACCGCCTTCTTCCCGCTTCCCTGGAGAACATAAAAGGGCGCTAACTCGGGCAGGTCGGAGAACTATCGGACCCCTCGCCGTCTGAAAAATGGTTTCGCTTCTGGACTCTGAATTTTCGACCTGGTCAGTCTGCGAGCCTCGGGCAGCAGCGTGTTGCAGACAGCCTCTACGCAATCACCCTGGCTGGCCCTGAAACTAGCGAAAACTGGGACGTGCTCTTTCTTGTTGTTCTCCGGGTTTTCCATCTTCTCAACAACCATCATCCATGCTGTGCCCGACAAATTATGGACGATTTAAATCGATCACCAGCACACGATGCTGACTGGCTTGGCCGGATTAGGTTAGCCTTTTTCAGGAGGAAGCTCCGAGTCCTTTTAACAGGGAGCCGCGAAAGACAAAGCAGAATCAGTTAAGATAGTACGTACCTCGCATTTGCTACTATCCCCACAAAAAGATCAGTCACTTTCCGCCCCACCCAGCCTATCCCGACAGAGCTTGAAGAGGGACTGGCTGCGCTCCCGTTTGGCGTGTGAAGTGCGGGAATGCGGGTTGTGAGTGGTGAGTGGCAGGCTGTAAAGTGTCTCCTCCCGTGCTTTGCAAGGCCTGCCTGCTGCTGCCACTCTTCCCTTGTTAGGGTCACTCATTCTCGTCGATCTAGAAAACACCCACGGCTCGAGTTTCATCATCCACGGTCCACACTCACTCTTCGGCTTGCACACCACACAAAACGGACGCCCAGTGCCATCATTACCTAGTTGTTCCCCCTCCATCCCACCGTTGCCCTGTCCGCCCTGAATGCTCCTCCACCGGACTCCTTCGCCACGGTGATCTTGTCATCGAAAAACCCCATCCTCGACCCCCTCGCCCAGCTCCTGGCACCACCACCACTTCGCCAATTCCCGCCTCTCGCAGAGATCGACTCCAACCATAACCCACAAGTCAGCAGGAATCCGTCTTCAGCTTGGATTCCACATTGACGCCATCCAGGACTGAGCAGCTCTTTTCTCCTCCGCTTCGAACCCGCGGCAGGCAGTCGAGTCATTAGTCGGGCTGCCAGGCAAGTCAGGCAGTCAACCAGCCAGCCAGCCAGTGCTTCGCGGAGCTTTATCGTCCGAGTAGGGACGTCTACACCGAATCCGTCCCACAACGCTCGCCGGGCACTTACAGCTGCGTCATCATGCCTATCGACGACAACCAGAGCGCGATTAGCGTCGCCTCGGAGGGGAGTCCATGTGTCGACCACCCATCCATTGGGCCCTCCCATGATAGCTTCGACATTCACCAACATCATCTCGTCGCCCACCACCCTCCACCGGGCGCTTCAGTTTATCCCCCATCGGCTCCCTTTTCTGGTGCTCTGAATCCCCGGAGTTGTGTAACATGTCGGAGACGCAAGGTTTGTCGCTCTTCCGCTCCTCACGCCCCGTGCCGCCTCATGCTTTCCGTGGGCCCGTCTGCATGTCGTGGACCCGCTGACACCTTTTCAGGTTCGGTGCGACAAACATATGCCATGCTCCAACTGCCGGAGAGCACAGATTCCATGCATCTTCCCGGCCCCTGGTCGGGCGCCGCGACGACCAAGACCAAAAGACCCGAATGCGCCGTCGAAACAGCCTTCGAGCGAGCGGGAGCTGGAGCTGATGAAGCGCCTGCGAAAACTCGAAGGCATTGTCGAAGAACTTAGCGGTCAGATCGAACTTGAGGCGGTGCGACACCCTTTTAGCTCCAGCAACTCCCCTGAAGGCACCGGAGGACACGATGCGGACGGCCACGCGACTGGTGCAACCCGAGCCGGCGATAAACCTGGAACCCCGAATGGAAGCAATCTTGGCAAGAACTCGCCCTCAACTGGAACCGGTATGGGCACAGATAAGAGTGGCGCGCAAGGTCTGCAGACACAACTCAACAGACCTCCTTTTGGCCCATTAAGGAGGATATCATCAGATATCCATAAACAGTTTGGTCGCTTGGTCCTCAACGAGAAGGGTGTCACCAGATATGTCAGCAGTGGATTCTGGTCTGCGATCAATGACGAGGTAGGGCGTTCCCTCTTATTACTTCCCCATGCATGAAACTCACCCAGATACAGCTCGACGAAATCCGCCGAGAAACAATAGAATGCGGCCAACATGATTCCGACGTCTCCGACGACGAGGCTTCTCCTGAATCCGTCGACCAACCCGTCAGCCATTCAGATCATCAGTCTTTCATCTTCGGGTACCGCTCCGCCGATGTCGACTTGAGACCACTGCACCCGCTCCCATCGCAAATTCCATTTATGTGGCAGGTATTCCAGGAAAACGTCGATCCAATACTCAAGGTTCTTCATGTCCCTTCGATGACCAAAACAATACGCCACGCTCGGAACAACATGGACAGCCTCACGCCTTCGACCGAAGCCTTGATGTTCGCCATCTACTATTCTGCCGTTGCCTCCATGGACAAAGATGAAGTATGCCCACCCCTGTTACCCTTTGTTTGTGGTTCTTGTCTTACACTGTATAGGCCAAAATGAACTTCGGCGCCGAAAAGGACTATCTCGTACAACAATATCGATTTGCTCTTGAACAGGCCCTGGCGAGAGCCAACTTTACGACGACGCCCGATATCACCCTCGCCCAGGCATTCCTCCTCTTCCTCATTCTCGTTCGCCGCCAGGATGACACGAGGTTCGCTTGGACCTTGACTGGTCTACTTATTCGCATTAGCCAGGCACTGGGCCTCCATCGTGACGGAACGAACTTCCCCAACATCAGCCCCTTCGAGGTCGAAATGAGGCGCCGTATCTTCTGGGCTGTATGTATCTTGGATCTCCGCTCTGCCGAGGACCAGGGTACCGATCTCACTCTCGTCGACCGTACTTTTGATACACAGCTTCCTCTTAACGTCAACGACTCCGACATTTCGCCAGATATGAAGGATTTCCCAGAGTCACGAGACGGGCCAACGGACATGACCTTTTCCTTAATCCGGTACGAGATCTGCACTGTGGCGAGACGTTTGCACACGGCATCGTCCGCCATGGCGCCTGTCTGCCCCGGGGATGCTGCAACCTCGCTAGAAGAGCGAGAGGAAATGCTTGCCGACCTACACAAGCGTGTTGAGGAAAAATACCTCCGGGATCGCTCTTGCCTAGATAATCCCATGTACTGGGTGGCTGCGAACATCGCGCGAGTGCTGGTTGCCAAGATGACCCTAATAATCTACCAGCCCGTGTTGTTCCCAGGACCAGATAATGAAGAGTTGTCGGATGAGCTACGAGAACGTCTCTTCAACTCCGCTATCGAAGTATTCGAGACGAACCACATCCTTAATACCGACCCAAGAACCAAGCCATGGAGGTGGCTATTCCAGACATATACACAATGGCCAGCTGTGGCGTATCTCCTAATCGAAGTTTCGCACAAGGCCTGGGGCCCTGCATCAGAGCGCGCTTGGGGTGCTCTAAACTCAGTGTATACAGCACCAAAAGAGTATGAGCTTGAGAAGCTTGCATCCCATACAGCTGTCTGGCTCCCCATCAAGAAGATGTACTTCAAGGCCAAGAGGCATCGTGAAGCGGAGACCGCCCGTCTTCGTGCCAATCCTCAAGCTGCCATGCAGCTCGAGCTGGAAGACCAGTCCAGACCCGCCCCGACCACTTTCGGGGCATTGTCAGTTACAGAGGAGATCAGCATCACAGTGGCCCGTGAACGCTGGAGGAAGCTTGTCAATGCGCCGCCCTTACCAGTTGAGCCGGTGCCACCCCCGAGGCAGCCAACGCCCGAGATCCCACAGACTGTACAACAGCAGACCAACGAAGTTCACACCAATGACAACAGTCACCCTACCGAGAACATGAATGTTTCAAAACCGGAGATGATGGACTTTCTAGATCCCACCATGACCAACCAAGGGTTTAACCCACAAGAATTCATCCCCTTATGGCGGGGGCCTCCTTTTGACCCGAGTCGTCCACCTGTCTACGGATTTTCCAATGGCGACATTCCACGAATGGACAGCGCGGCGAACTTCAACCCCGCAACAATACCCGACTTCAATCGCAGCACCACACCGGCACCCACAGGCGGTAATCAGCTGCATCACACGCCTGGTCCAGGGCCAAACATGAACACAGCTCAGGGGATGCAGGTACAGTCGCCCGTGAAAGACGAGAATGCCCCATGGTTATGGCCCGGCCCGGGGTTGCCCGAAATGCTCCGGGTACCTAATTTCCAGGTTGAAGATATGGACGTTAATATGGACGAGGGTTTCGACTGGCAAAACTGGCAGGAGAGCCTTGGTAGGTTCGAAATGGAAACGAATGGCGGGTCAACGGCCACCAGCACTTGGGGCCCAGCAATCTAGAAACAAAAAGGAGTATATAATAGATGGAATAGCGTATTGGACGATCTTGTTTTGGTTAATCCCTCGTTTATTGGCTGGACCATGTCAGTCTTTTTGCATGTCGCACTTTCTTTTGGAAAGCTAGGACGAGGCTGCTTTGTCTGCGTAAGGAGTTATGTTATAGATACCCGTTGACCTTGCCCAACATCCCTCCGTCTTCCTGCATTGCATGCATATATGTGTCTAACTGCCCATACACTCGCTAGCCTTCCTCGAGTTTCCCGATGAACATCGTGCCACCATGTCTGATCTCATGTCTATAAGACAGTCATTATCAGGCGGTGATGCCGTTGGCTCGGTATCCGCGTCGACCCAAACCTCTACTGTTCCCCGTTTCCTTGCATATTGATTGGCTCAGCTGATGCTCAGAAAATCTTCAGATTCGCTTCTCCCAAAACCCACTAAATCCGAGCCATACGACAGACTCTAAGATCCCCCTTATCAACCGGATAGTGCTTGGACTGTTCGAGAACTTTCACTAGGAATTAAACTATAAAGGAGTCTTACTAACAGGACTGGTGGAGTATTTACATCTGACCGCAAGGGAAGACGCGGTAAAAAGAAGAGAGGTAGCGAAAACATATACAGTACTGCTATATGTGAGTATGTGAAGGGAAAAAGAAAAAGTTTGACAAGAGTGGGATTCGAACCCACGCCCTTTCGGACCACGGATATCTCGGATTAAGGGTTAACCTTAACGTGGCGCCTTAGACCGCTCGGCCATCTTGCCTTACTTATACTGAAAGATTTTGAACGTATACCTGATATTGACAGAGTTGGCAGTAAAGGGACGGCGCAGTTTGCGGAACGGCAGTGTTAGGCAGCGGCTCCCGAGCGGGAGCTTTTGAACTGGCCCGGACTAACTAATCCGTCCACTTTCAAGTTAACCTCTTCGATGAAATCTAGTACAAAAGCTGGTCTGTGGACCCGAACACGGTAGCGACCTTTTTCCAATGACATCTTCTGTCGCACAACATCAACCAGCCGCACCATGATCAAGACAATGATCCGATCCCAAACCCCTCGAACCTATTTCTCGTGACACTCCGCGATACCCAACAGCCTCAACATTTGCAACTCCATAAATCGCATCACTAAACCGCGCCTTTGGGATACCTTTACAATGTCAGTCGCCCCGCGAACAGATTGCCAGCGGCCCGGCCACAACCGATCGAGATTCGAGGCCACCAATAACCCGATACTACCCCAAGAGAAGGTTTGGCATACATGCAGTTGGTAGATTTTCAGCTACGCGACCGGGGGTCAGTAAGTGGCTGAGAACCAATATTGGTTGCCGATATGCTTCTTGGACTTGAGGGCGGGGTAGGGCGCCTTGAACGTTCTCGGAGCATAGCCTCGTCGGGTATCATTTGTCCCACCTACGAGCGTGCGATTGATCAGACCTCACGACTCTTCCCTGATATCCCATCCACTTGGCCACTGCGATCCACGGCCCCTCGGCAACGTCAGATAGACTCGAAACTTTGACTGTCGCATTCGCTACCAGAGCAATCTCCCGCCAAACTTGCCGTTTGACGGCACGGCCTTCGAGCGTTCCGCGACCCGCTAATCACCATTGTCATAATCATGCCTCGGAGCACCAGTATTGCATTGGTCCACTCATCGGCGCTCGCTCAGCTGCCACCAGAACTTCGACTAGCGCAAGCTGTGTCCGAATTCGCCCAGACTCTGGATTTGGAAGGGAAACGGGACTTCATGAAATTACAAGCGCAATGCGCCAGTTCAGCTCCCACTGCGTCCGACGTCATCAAGATGACTGAGAAATTGAATCGAGAGGGTGCTCGACGGCATGCCTCCTGGACACCGGCAGCCGGCACACGACTTGGCGGTTTTCTCAGTCGATTGCAGAAATTTGCAGAGGCTGGAGATGTCTTGATTGGAGGCTCACAAAGCCTGATTGCTTCAGGAGTCTGGACAGCAGTGAGAGTCGCGCTGGAGGTATGTATACCAACTCCGGAAAGCCAGTTTAACTGTTTTTGAACCAAATGCTGATCGTTAAATGCAAAAATAAATAAATAAAGGCAGCAGTGGGGCATTATGCTTATTTCGACCAGCTTTCCTCACTGTTAATGAGTTTAACACAAACCTGGTCCATTACCTTGGAGTTTGCGAAGCATTTTCCGGACTCAACTGATTTGCAAGCATTCCTTGCCGAGTACCTTGCTAGAGTGGTTCAGCTGTGCCAGAAGATTGTGGAAGTTGCAAAAAGGCCACCCTACCTCCTCCTGGCAGTATCAATATTATCAAGCTTTGACGCCGAGTTCAAGCCAATCCAGGACGACCTGAACATGTGGGGCCGTCTGATCGAGAAGAAGTTTGACCTCCTTGCAAGTCAAGCTGCTCAAGAGCAGCAGGTCGCGACCAAGGATACCGGCGCCTTGCTACGCCGCTTCTATAAATCACGAAAACGTCAAGATGTACTCGAGCAACAAGAAAGATTCTTGCATCTGTTATCTCCGCGACAGGGTCAAATAGACGCAATATGGAGAAGGGAAAGGAAACGCGGAACCACGAACTGGATACTCGAAACTCCTCAGTACAAGTCTTGGAAAACTGCCACTCAACCCGTGCTGAGGGTTACTGGCCACCTTGGCTGTGGTAAAACCGTAGCCCTCGCGAACATTATATCCGATCTTGCTATGGCTAACATCAAGTGCGGCGGCTTTATCTGCAAAAGGGATGACCCAAGCATGCTTAAAGGCGTAACAATTCTGGGTAGTATTGCCTATCAGTTAGTGCAATCAATCACAGTCTACCGAGACTGGGAAGCATTATTCCAATCGAGTGCCAGCGATCTCGGTGGATCAATGACCATCTCTTCTATCATACAGTTGCTCCAGAATCTCTTACCACAAAGCAAGACCTTCCATATTGTACTTGACGGACTGCAGGAGTGTGCAAAGGAGGAAGTTGAAGTCGTTTTGGAAGCGATATCCGACCTGCGCAAGTCACACCGCGTGTCTGTGTGCTTTTCGACAACGCTGGATGGTCTTTCAGTTGAACTTACCGAAAACTATCTTGGCACAGCTAATGTTCTCTGTTTGAACGATTCCCACCGCGATTCGGAAATTAAGGAGTATATCAGAAAGGAGGTGAAAAGGAGAAATGCCGTTCGTCAGCCTCCCTTAAATGGCGAGCTGGAGAATTTGGTAATAGAGCAGCTGACAATGGGGGCCCAAGGAATGTAGGTTACAACAGTCTGGCTTTATGGTTATGATACGTGTAGGCCTTCAGTTACTAATCACGATGCGACAGGTATCTCTGGGTATCGCTCCACCTAGAAACTATCTTTCCACCCTATAACGATGGCATCTTGACCGACGAGTCTGTGCTTAACATCTTACATCACTTGCCGCAGGATCTCCCCGAAGCTTTTGATCAAGCTCTTGGTCGAATCTCTGATCGACGATACGGCGATCGGATATTCCAGCTGGTCGCCGTCGCGGAAACCCCTCTTTCCGGAGAACAGCTCAATGTTGCTCTTACTGTTCAACCTGGCAATATCATGTGGGACGGGACCAAGTTACCGCGCAGTTCCAAGCAGGTTGTCGCCCGCTGTGGTGGGGGCTTACTACAAGTCGACGAAGAAGACGGCTGCGTGCGGTTCATCCACCATAGTGTGGTATCGCATATGGGTAGTCTAAGGGTAGGAATAGACGGCAGACGGCTCGCTCGAAGCTGGATCGTGGACGCCGAAACGTTTATGGGATCCGTGTGTGTAACGTACCTCAACTTTCCCGACTTTGATCGACGCATGGTTTTGAGCAGAAACCTCCACCCCAGCTCGATTTCAGAGGCGCTGAAAAAACAAGCATCAACTTCCAATCCAATACTAGCCAGCGTGGTTCGACACATCAAAAGGGATAAAGAACGAAGAGTGGCGACCGAGCAACTGAACATTTTCCGGACTCTACTTGAGGCTCAGAAAATCAATGAGGACAGCCCCTTGGCGTGCTTTCAGCCTTATGCATCCAAATATTGGGCTCAACATACAGCGCATCTAACCCATGAAGATGGACCTAACGTCGACGTACTCTGGAGAACATTGGTGAATAATCGGCCACCACATGTTTTGATACCTTGGGCTCAATCGTTGGACCCAATGGGCGATAAAGGAGGGATGTTGGATTATGCCATTCGCCACTCGCATGCATACCTTTACCGCTTTATGATGAGTGATGTTCCTGATTTCACCACTTTTCAATTGACCCATCACTTGGCGCAAAAGAAGGTCACGAACCAAGAGGATACAGCTGTATCGATTACCAAGATGATAAATCATTGCCTTCTTGCAGGTCCTCCCTTCATTCTGGCAGCCTATTGTCTTGCCTTGTTGCTGAACGATGTTATGGAGGACGAAGATACCAGATTGTTGGACATAACGTCTCATAAAATTCAGGAAAATACTTATGCATTGGGGATGGCAAGAGACTTCGAGGAAACTAAGGCCGAGAACGTGACGGATCGTTTGTGGGAGTTGATTGAAATGGGATGCTCATCCAGATACAACCCCTTGTCTGGCGTGGACAATTCCCGAGGCGCGCGCAAAGCCATATCAGCGGCTCTCAGCGTTCTGGCCATGCGACTGCCTCTGCAGGAAATTCCCGGAAACGAGAACTCGAACTCTGCCAGAGACGCTTTTTGGAGATGTCTAGACGCCCTTTCTAAGAATGGAGATGAGTGCCTTTCAGATCTTTTGGGACTATCGGTTTTCGGTGGTTAATTGGGAAGGAGACGCACAATACCTGGAGTTATTGGCATTTCGGTACGCTTTCCTTCATAACAACTTCAACCTGGTTGTGAAGATTGCATCAAACTGTGCCGTCGAGTCATCTGTTGTCGCGCAAGCAGTGGAAGAGACAAAACTACAAGCAAAGTCATTGATCCATTCGAAGCTTCTTCCAGGTCGGCTGAAGGAGCCCACAAGTTATGTGATGGAGCAAGAGCTGGCTGAAGATCCCACGTTGGCTGCGGCTCGCACATACATGGTGAACAAAGAATACGACAAAGCACTGGACACAATCCAATGTTACACTAGACTCTCCGGCATTGGTTCCATCAACCACAAGCTCATTTCTCAAATTCACGTGCTTCAACAACGAATGGTGCTGCGTTGGGTCATTGACCATCGATGCGAGAAGGTTTTTCAAAGGCTAGCGTTCTTGCGGCAGGCGGTATTGGACTGGCCGACAGTCCTGATTTACGCCATAACGACTTATGCACATGCAGGACCACCGAACGATGAAGACTTGCAAAGCGAGCGCGAAATTTTCTACGGGTTGCTCGAAGAATTGAAACAGGTCGACCCTGAAGGCAATCGCACCATGGGCTCTGAGGGTACTTTGGACATTGACCCAGGATGGACAGCACTTCATGCGGCAGCTCTATGGCAATCCTTTGCAGTCGAGGCTCTGATAAACACTTGGCCCGACATTGCAAATTCAAGTACGAGGCTCGGACACACGCCTCTAGTCGTGGCATTGTGCGGGCCCTTGGAAGATTTAGGAGCCTCTTTGGCTGTCAGCGCTCTTCTCCGCGCCGGAGCTGACACAGGAGCTTTATCGGCCTTTCCTTACCTTTCTCCACTGGACATCTCAATCGCGTACCGTCCACATCGCATATCACGATTGCTAATTGAGTCTGGAGCAACAAGAGCTGAACTAGTGAAAGGCACCCAAGACCTGGCTGTTCATACCTTGGTGGAGAGGATTGCCTTGCTGGAAAGTCGAATGGCCTTTGAGGGTAATTCCACGGAGTGGGTAGAACAGACTCAAGGAGTTACCTCACTTGAGGAATACTATAGGATCGGATCTTCTGCGTCTGACACGGACTTACCCCGGCCACAACGCTTCACAATTTACGAATTAGGTGGATGTGTCACATTGCATCATGGCTGGGGATGCCACTGTCACCATGTCAACCAGGAGGTCTCCGAGCAACTATTTGAGTTAGAAGGATGCAATGAGTTTCATTCAGCGGACTCGCATTGCATTTGCGAAAACGATCGAGACCTACCAGATCCTGTTCTTTTGGCCAAGTTTGAATCCATCATTGAGCAGGCATGCTTTCAGCGTCAGCTTGATGAAGAGACGGCAATGTTTGTGGAAGGTTGGATACCAAGGAGTTAAGGTGGTTTTGGAATAGACAACACTACACAGCAAACGAAAGCTACCTGTACAGAGCATATCAAGATATAATCTCGTTATCAACATACAATCTTTTTTGGATAATGAGAAAATAACATTGGAAAACTTTGCACATGTCTGGGCAATCTATCTGCGTCCAAGTAGCAAACTTCAACTAAACACATAGTCAAAAATATACTGTCACCATCCCGCACATATCCAGTGGAAAAAAAAAGCGTGGCAGTATTTTTTGGCCATCACTATACTGCATCAAGCTTCAACCGATACACTACACCGTTGAATGTCTTCCCTACCTCAGCATGTGCCTCACCAACAGAGGTACATATCTACAACTACCACTACCTTCTCCCTGACCCGTCACTCCATCTTCCTTACCTCTACTGACCTATCATCCACTGCAGTTTCCTAGGCGATCCAGTCAGGAAAGAACATCATTTTGATAACGAGGAAACATGGCACTGCAGCACGGCATACCAACAGCTCAATATATAAGGTTGTCAAACAAGGCACTTCGTTTCATTCATCTCAGACGCCATTTCAATTTTAATGCTAGGTAGAGGTATGTACTGTAGCCGCCTAAGGTCTAATCATGAGGGTAAGGTAGGTAAGTAATAAACGACTATCCGCTGCAATGCTAATGCGAGAACACTCCGTCTTGAGCTTCTGAGATTCTGGAGCTATCAAAACGCCTAGCAAGAAACCTTTCCCTTTTTGCCTGTCTGAAAATGCTAGTACAAAGATACTTTTTCCTCGTTTTCCAGCTTGCCTGGATTCAAACCAACCTCTTGATGCACTCTACCCATAACATGTGATCATCCGTATGATCAGGGAATGGTCTTGCGTCCTTTCCTCCTCTTTTTTTTGTCCGCTCTAAGTCCAAGGCTCCCAAACAAGGGGAGCTCAAACGTAATGCAAGAAAGAGCTTTGCAGCTCTAGACTAGGTAGTCAGATGTGCAGGCAGGTGTACCCAAATCGTCTTGAGCAAAATCCGAATTTGAAATCGAGATCAAATATGCCTTGGTGAATTCCTCTCAGAACAAGTAATATCCACATCACCAGCATCCATCTCTTCAAGAAAGGGTATATCCATCTTCACCAACCAGTACCCAACTGCCTCAACGCCCGTCTTGCAAGACTAGTCATATCATTATTCCTACTTCTCCTCCTACATTCACTCCTCGTTCTTTCGGGTTTCCTATCCCATGTAGCTCACTGCATCAACTGGGGGTCTATAGCCTCCTAAGCAACGGGTCCATGCCCAGAAGGAGGGTGAGGGTAAGGGTAAGACAACGGCTGCATGGCTTGAGGCGGCATATGTTGATGCTGGAGAGGGTGCATCGGTTGCATCTGTTGTTGCATCGGGGGCATCGGAGCCATTTGTGGCGGCATCTGTCCCTGGCCCGGACCAGGCTGTGACATGGGTGCCATCTGGGCCATTGGAGGCATGGGCTGGGGAGCCATCGAGTGAGGTGGCATTTGCTGAGGGGGCATCGATTGCGGAGGCATATGCTGCGGAGGCATGATATGTGGTGGAAGCGGGGGGAAGCTGTGCATCACCTGGTGATGGCCCTGTGCCACCTGGACGTTCTGAACTCCTTGAGGTTGGGGCGGCAAAGCCAACAGCCCGGTGTGAGTGGGACCAAGGCTTGGTGTTGTCGGGGCCGAGGCACCGGTTGAGGGGCCAGCGGAAACTGGATCTGGAGTCTGGCTCATCGACATCATGCCCGGCTCGTTACCGTTTGTCACGCCCGTTGCTGCCTTTTCGGCCTTCTTGTTGGCCAATGTTGTACGGCGCTTTTCAACCGCTCCTTGCATTTCACCCGAAGCCCAGCGTCCTACGTCCCTGTTAGCTCGCGAACATGTCAACCCAAAAAAGGCAGAACAGCGGCACACTTACGTCTCATGGAATAGCTCATCTTCTCCGACTTGCTCATCTCCGCATATGGCTTATCCGGCTCCGTAGTATTGGCCAGGGCAAAGCCACTGGGCATCATCTTGGGAGGTTCGACAGGTTCGGGCGGGGTTGGCGTAGCCGCCTTCGGAGCCCGAGGTGCTTTACCTGGGCCCTTCAAGGTAGGATGTGGGCCATTGTTGACGGGAGGGACCGCCTGGGGAGGCACTTGGGCAAAGCTAGGACCCATCGGAGGGGGTCCTGGGTTCTTGATCTTGATGCGAGTTAACGGCTTGGTGATAGCCGGTGGCGCGGGAACTTGCGGCGGAGGACCTCCTGGTGGGAAGGCTGGGGCGGCGTTAAATGTATGCATGAAAGGAGACGGACCAGGGGCCGGAGCGATGGGTGGCGGTCCACTGTTGAAGAACAATGCGGGTGCTTTCAATCCTCCTACGGGCTGCTGCGGAGCAAGTGCCGGAGGTGGTGGAGGAGGTACTGAAGTAGGCTGGCTCGTCACATTCGCGTTCTTCTTCTTAGGGCCACGCTTCTTAGGCTCGTGGCTCTCTGGTTTAGCCGGAACAGCGTTGCGAGCTCGCTTGTGCTGTCTTGGCTCAAGCTCGGGATCGTTCTCGAGCGCAAAGTTGCGTCTCCGCTTGTCACGCAACGAATAGCTCGACTCCGGGGTGCCGACCGTATTGTTCGTTCCCTCTGACGAAGCAGTTGATGGCCTCGGTACGTGCTGCTCTTGTGGTAGAGTTTCCGAAGCACCATTATCCAAGGTAACAGGGCTATTATAGAAAGATTGCGGAGCGATCTCTTGAACCGGAGGAAGGGCCACCTTGGGCTGACGCTGACGCTTAGTCTTTCCCTCCTCACTTTCAGTCGGAGCAGGCGCAGGGGCAGGTGTTTCCTCAACGACAGGAGGCGCAGCCGGTGCACGACCACGTTTGCGTCCTGGTTTCGGCTTGTCTACTGGCAATGTGGTCTCTTCAGCCTTGGGTTCCTCAAGTGCTACGCTAGCTGCGTCATCACCCAGTGGGACTTCCTCAGTTTCCTGGACTTGCTCGGCAATCTGAAATTCCATGTCCTGCTGAGACTCCTTGGCTTGCTCGGCTTCCAATGCCTCCTGGGCCTCCTTAGCTTGTTGTGCCTCCTTTGCTTGCTGAGCTTGCTCCGCCAAAATAAGTGCTTTGGGTTTGGGTCCGCGTCGTTTGCGGACTACAGGCTCAGGGACAATCTCTACGGCCGGAGTTTGGTCAGACGGCTCAACCGAATCGTCATTGGGAGCCATTTGCTTGCGCTTGCCACGCCGGCCAACAACAGTAGATGGGCCGCCGGTAGGGGTGCCGGCACGACTAGGATCCTTGCTCTGATCCGAGAGGTTGCGGGGCTTGCGCACCCGCTTTCCTTCAACAACGTTTTCTTCGGCAAGCTCAGCCTTTCCAGCACCTTTCCTGTGTGGTCGGGTCTCGGTGATGTCCCACCGTTGCTCTTCGATGTTTTGTCTACCAACCGCGTTGGCATGGGGATTGTGCTTGAAGCCATATGCTGCGGCCATGATCTTATCCTGGTCCTTTTGATGCTCGTAGATGGGATCATCTGACGAAGGCTTCGGTGCGCGAACACCCTTGAGTTCGAAGGCGGGCGGTCCCTTGGTGGGTTCATCATAGTGGCGGCGGAAATGTGGTGCGTCCTCCGCTTTCAGCCGGTTTTCCCAGTTGACAATCGAGACATCATTCTTCTTGCGGCGCTCTGCATTGTCCTCATCGTCAACAACCTTCCTGAGCTCGCGGAATTCATTCTGCCAGACACTGAGGGTTTCAGACATGGCTTCAGCCAACTTGTAGAGCATGGCAGTGTCCATATCCTGGTAGTCTTCCAAGAGATCCGCAAAATCTTGAACGTCGCGAATCTTGGGGAATGACCACTGTTTCCGTGGCTGCCGGACCACCTCTAGGGGTTCTATAGAGCCCGCGGCTTTTTCAGGGTCAAACACCGGCCCATTAACATACTGCCCATCTTCATCGTCGGCCACAGATGCGGTTGCCAGATCTTCCTCGTCCACCATCTCGGAGGGAGAAGGCGCGGCAGTCGGAGGTTCAGTTTGGGGCACATCATCGGATGCTTGCCCTGTTGGACGAGAGGCTTGCTTCACCTTTGGTACGGGAGCTGGCTCTGGTGGGGGGAGTGTTTCCGCTACTTTGCCTCCAGACTCAGCCTGTGCTTCCTTCAGTCGTGGAATATAGTAGTTATCTCTAAACTCCTTCATTGACATACGAGGCTGGCCACTCGCCACCATCTTTCCAGTTTCCTGTCGCCAGAGTTTGTAAAACTCTTCCGTCTTCAGCTTGCGGCGCCCATCCCAATGGAATTCAGTAGACGTGGGTTCCGGCACGGCGGCCGGTGCGACCGGCACCGGCTGTGCAGGGGTGGGAGCCGGTGAGGTGGCCGGCGTCGGTATAGGCGTAGGATTGGCCTTCGTCATAGGATCAAGGACAAGCCTTTCAGTAAAAGGGCCAGGGTGTGTGACATCATCGTCCACGTAGGGCGTAAGCTTCAGAGAAGCAGCGATGGGTGTCTCGAGGCTATAGATCTTTTCGAGGTTCTTCAAACGGGGAGGGAAACCCGGCTTGGGAGGTCGTACCGTCCGAGAAGATGACGATGGGGAAGTTGTCGCAACCGAATTACTACCTTGTGTGGTATTGGGAGGGGATGGAGGGCGATTGCCGGGTTGAGAGTTGACCTTGGAAGAAGGAATTGGTGACGAGGGAATCAATTCTGGCACGGAGTGCAAATGGGTTGCTTCATCTTGCTCTGTGGGCTCTACCTTAAAGGGCCCATCGTGGAGTAGATTTGGGTGATTTTGGGGGTGTTCTGATGGATGTAATGTCTCAGTCTCGGTCGACATGGCGGTTACCTGGTGAGAGCCTTGCTCATTGGTTAAAGTGTCCTTGGAAGAAGCGGTGGTACCGTTCTCCCGTGTTGATGGATTTGGAGCCGGTTCATCCTCATTGCTGGTGCTTTCGATTTTGCCATGGGATGCGGAAGAATTTTGTGACTGGGACGAACTGACTGCTTCTCTGGAATCAGCAGCGCGAGGAAATGACTGTTCACCTTGCGGGACAGCACCGGATCCGTTGGGCTTTGACGATTGATTGGCCGCGGATGCACCTGCAACGGCCGACTGTTCCGACTCTTCCTCTACCTCGGGTATCTCATCCATCGAGACGCCGACTAAGATGGTATCTCGCACGTCATTGTCCGACCGGTGATGCTCAACATAAGTGCTCTGCGCTGTAGCCGGCTTCTTACCCGCTGGCTTCCGGTGAGAGGATGAGTTACGTGCAGGAGCCGGAGACTTGTTGCCCCGCTTGTTACGCAAGGCACTATGATCGTGATCCTTGAGTTCTTCACCCTCAGAATCCCCTTGGGTACCCCTTCGCCGGCGTCCGCGGGTGGTTGGTGTGCCGGCAGGCCTGGCAGCGGAATCGACTTTGGTGGCGGCACCACCGAATACATCATCAATCTGTTCCTGGCTATAGTCGATCCGTGCACGCTTCCTGAGCGAGTGGCCGCCTTTGCTATTTGAGTTTCCCTCATCGTCAAATTTGGGGGCTTCATGAGAGAAGTCAAAGGTCTTGGACCTTTTGCGAGCTGATGTGTTGCCAGCAGGCATGGCAGTGCTCGAGGGCGCCTCAAAGGTGAAAAGGGTTGTTGTATCCAATGCAGGTCCTCCGGCGGTGCGATCACTGTGTGGAGTGACGGGGAAGGAAGAAGTCGAATCAGGGGCCGATGGAGAAGCAGTGCGGCGCTGTTGAAGGTTTGGATAAGCGACTTGCTTGCTCCTACCACCTCGGAGGGAACCGACTGAAGGAGCGCGTTGATGTGTCGTCGGCGGCTGATGCGCCTGTTGCTGCTGCTGCTGTTGCTGCTGCTGCGGCTGCTGTTGATGTTGTGGTTGATGTTGTGGTTGCTGAAACTGATGGCCATGCATCTGGGGATATGGGTGCGTTGAATGGTGTGGTTGATTGTTCTGCACATGCGATGTAAAGGGGATTGGAGGATTCTGAGTGGTCAGATCCGAAAAGGGGGTGTAGGTGGAGGAGGGGTGAGGCGCATGTGAGGTGCTGCCGGGAATGGAAGGGTTAACAGTGCCCGTAGTTGTGGTGTTGGAGTGGTGAGAGCCATTGACTTGGGGAAAGGGTGTAATCTGAAATTGATGCTCGAATTCGTGCTGCTGAGCAATAGGACGCTGTTGATGTTGTTGTTGGCTAAACTGTTGGTGGTGGTGAGATGTAGTTGACAGGGTTCCACGCATCTTCTTGGTCGCGCGCCCGCGGCCACCACGTCCGCGCTCCATGTTAAAGCAGACTTCAGTTGTAATTCACTCTGCAGCAGAAGTGAAGGACCGGACTGGACTGCACAGACACACTTTTCTTTGAGCCTCAGCTATCAGCTGGTCAGAGTGGGAACTTGATATTATTTGGGCGGTGGTGGAACATAGCGACTCTGCCAGTGAGGCGAAAAGCCAAAGAAAAAAAATGCACTAACCTTTCAACGTGTCAGGGAGTCCGGCTTGCTACCTCAGAGCTTGTCAATGGTTGGATCCCAAAGACGCTCAGGCTTGGCGTCGGTTCGCTGAGAACAGCGTTGTCCGGTTGGGTGAAAAGGGTATGCTGGAAAAGATGCCGAATAGCAATGCTCGCTGTCTGTTTGGCAATGCTGCTTGTCCGCCGTCAAATTCCTCCTGAAGGTGAAGTGGCAGAGGATTGGCCAGAGTTGTGTGTAGTAATGGGCGACTTGCAGTTATGTCGAGGGTTGGAGGTGTTTTGAGTGAAAAGTGAGGCCGGACGCACGGGCAAAGTATGTAGTGTACTATGGTACAGTACAGATGGGATGGGCGGTATTAGTGCAAGCCGCCGGGGCCAAGCAGTTCTGTGTGAATAATGTGTGCACCCGACCGTCTGAAGAAAACCGAGGGAATCGGGACGGGCTGAAGACAGAATAATCCGAATTGGCGAGTAGGTTGAAATGCGCGAAAGGGAGGTAGAGATGATGTTGCGGCGTCTTCCTCAAGTCGCTGCTTGATTTGTTGGCTGGGAAAGAGGCCGTGACTTTGACGGCCGAGTAGATTTCTTCCTCGCATCAATTTTGGAGGTTCAGATTCCCGAATAACTGAAGCTACAGCCAATCGTACACGAGTACAGGTTGCAGTCCTGTCCTGGCAGACCCACTGCACAGCTGGCTGCCAGTCGACAAGGCCACTAACATGCTCCAGCTCATGTGTCGAATGAGACAGCTGGCCAATTACACTTCACCATTTGCAGCGTGCAAGTGTGGATCAACACAACCTTGGCCGCTCTTTTGCTTCATGCCAGTCATTGCGCGAGCCACCTGGCTGGATTCACTCTGAACAGAACCTGAATGGGCCACTGCAAGCTGGCAGGCAATTGAGGGGTGTCTGGAGTAATGATGAACTTTGCGTTTAACACTCGTGGTCCAGCTCCGACAGTACGTAGTGCGTTGAGGACAATAAGGCTGACGACTGATGATGAGGCTCCCGTCTCACCAACAAGGATAAGGAAGGGCTGCAAGAATAAAGTGGATGCCTTGCGCCTCTCCGGCATTGCTCCAGCCCCAGAGTGACGACGATTCACTTATTCTTGACCCCAACACAAACCGTTATTACATTGATGTGCTTGCTACAAACCACCTTGAGAATTTTATATAATGTGCGTGTAAGAGCGCCCAAGTCAAGTCAGAGTATGCTTCTCGCACACCCACAAGTGATGATGGATGATATGACTTTCCATTTTCCCTCTTCGTGTTTGTGTAGGTACACAGTAAGAGTGCACAAGTACCCGTGTACCGACCGACACATTCGTGCAACCCCGCAAATCCGCACCCACCAACTCTGCCTGGTCCCCGCAGTGCTTTGGGTGCGTGCCCCGTCCCTGGATGGCCTGGACTGTGCTCCCGCCCGCCGCCGCTCCCTTATCTCGATTGAATCCACCCAGAGACATCATTCCACCCCCTCGAACAACCCAACACAAGAACATCGGGACGCACATTGCCCGCCAACACACACAATGGCCACCAAACGATCCAAGACTGATCCTACCGACGACGAACTCGGTGAGCTCTTCGAGGGCATCGGCGACGACATTGCCATCAAAAAGTCATCGACGCCAAAGACCAAGCGAGCGCCTGCCAAGCCCAAGAACGATGCTGCCGACCGAGATATCCTGGCCGAGCTAGAGGACGAGCTTGTCTCGAAAGCCCCCGAAAGACCTCATACGCCTCGCGTCCGCGACATCGCTGCCAGAGCTTCGCCGGCAAAGCGCACCTCGACCAACACTCCACCTCCTCCCGCTGCTGACACCGGCGCTTCCACACGAAAGTCAGGCGAAAGCACCGCATCCCACCCGACCGGCACCTTCACCCCCAGTGCGACAAGCTCCGATCCGCACGAATCCGAGAAGAAGCCAGCCGAGAAGCCACAACCAGCTGCGAACTCTGGCGGAAGTTGGTGGGGAGGCTTCTTGTCTACTGCCGCCTCAACTGCTGCTGCCGCCGTGAAGCAAGCCGAAGCCGCCGTCAAGGAGATTCAGCAAAACGAGGAAGCTAAGAAATGGGCCGACCAGGTTCGCGGCAACGTGGGCGCTTTGCGCGGCCTCGGTAAGTCTTGTTCTCCAGATGGAACTCACTGCCGTCCCCACCATGTCTCTTTCTGTCATTGCAATCAAATGCTGATTGGTATCCTTCATCGCAGTTGGAGAAGATCTCGTACACCGCGCCATCCCAACATTCACCAATATTCTCCATACCCTCGCCCCGCCCATTTCATCGCACGAGAGGCTCCTTATCCACATCACTCACGACCTCGTCGGATATCCCTCTCTCGATCCCCTTATCCACGGTGTCTTTAGTCGTGTCATGTCCCAGGTCGAGGGCGGCGATCTCCTGGTCATCCAGCGGAGCCAAGAGTCAACAGCACGCAACTCGTCCGAGAAGCCTTCCTTCTTCGGTGGCTCATCAACAGTCGGCTGGCGCGACGGGCCCTGGTGGCGGCAAGTCGAGATCCCTCGCGACCTAGGTGTCATCAACGGGCTTGTCGAGGGAACCAAGCTCTGCCGGGCTAACGCCGAGGGTTATGCCAACGATTACTTCGCCGCGCACGGTGGCATCGAGGCGGCGCGTCAGCGAGCAATGGAGCCGGCCCGCGAAAGCAACCCCGTCCGGACTTCAGACATCTTCCTGTCGGTGCAGGCCATCGGTGTGAAGGAGGACAAGGCGCTCTTTGCGGGCTCGTCAGCCGCGGAGAAGGAGAAGGAGTCATCTGATGTTTTGGACGAGGACAAGACTGACGACTTGGTCTGCTTTGCTGTCTACCTCTTTGATCCCATCCATGATATCCAGTACTCGGCCGTTAGCCAGTCCATCCCCGCCAAGTGGATCCGCTGGCTGGACGCTGCCGCCGCGCCCCTTACCCCTGGCAGTGCCGATGAGGGTCAAGAGTTCGATTTTGAGCGTGTACCGGAGGAGATTCGTGAAATTGTCGAAAGCGGTGGCGTTGACCCGCGCGAGTGGGTTGCTGAGTGGGTGGAGGAGGCACTGAACCTCTCTGTGGGTATCATCGCCCAGCGCTACGTTGCGCGCAGAATGGGCGTTGGTGAGGGCAGCATTGGTAAGGGAAAGCAAAAGGTGGAGACCATCCTGGAGGAGGGCGGAAGTGAGGCTGCTCGGGCAGGCCTCATCTGAAAGAAACAGACATGTTGATGATTTGGCTTACAATGAGGCGTTCTTCTTTGGGTCTTTGTTCGTTTTTTTGTCTTACGCAATACCAAGTTGGTCATAATATTACACGCTAATGGACACAACTGGAAAGGACTTTTCTACCAGGCCACAACAAGGAATCCTCAAATTGCCAACTGACAGCAACAACTAGTCCTATCATCTTGTGCTCAAGGAGGCCAGTGTCCGAGTAGGCTATGTTGCCAGCTCCGACTGCTTCTTCACGGCGCGACCACCCCATGTCAGGAACCCCCAAGTCTTGGCATGCGTCAACTTGTTCCACTCACAGAAGCCCCGTACGGGCGAGCCGCAACAGTGGAGTTGTATCAACCGTTGGTCCGTGGCCCGAGTTTGTAGTGTAAATTTCACCGCCGTCCTTGCTGCGGACAACAGCCTCTGGAGATTGTCAAATTGTTTGCACGGGTCAAGAAATGCGCAAGAAACATGCGAAGGGCTGGTTTTCTTCAATCATAGCCGTAGTATTTTGACTGCGGCGGACAAAAACAGATCTATTTCAATCGAATACAATCGGGGTTTTGTCCTTTTCGAATTTCCTTCTGGTCTGCCAGCGCCTTTCCCAATACGGTATTCTAACATTTCCCATGTAAGTCAGCACAACATCAACATCAACTCCATATCTTCAACTTCCATGAACGAATTCGATCCGCAGAACAACCCCCGGACTTCCAGCATGCAAGGATCGAAGTGTAACATCACTTACATACCTAGGTAATTTCATCTATATAATGCTTACACCTGAATGCCAGTAACACGCCCCACACAAACCATTCTTCACTATAAGGACCATGACATGACCAATGCCGAATACCGGTCACTTGGTTTCCCACTGCGACTCTCTGCGGCGTAGCTGGTTTTGACAGGCGTGACAGGTTCAGTTGGCTATTCGTGAACTGGTGTAATGTGATCTTTGTCGGTCAAGTCCTCAACGACGACTTCGTCACATCTACAATCCAAGTTAGTAAGACACGTTACACAGAACCAAACTATGAACATTGCTGGTACTCGTTGATGATGGATGGTTTGCCCGGCAGCCTGGTTGGCTTTGGGGAGATCTCACCGCAGTGAGAATGAGTGTGGATTGGGTTCCGAGTTTGGTTATGAATGATGCGGAACAATACCTACAAGCATTTCACGCCCTTCGGTATACATACCTGAAGGTCTTTTCTTTCAAAGAGTCTTATACGTGATGATGGTAATCTGGGGCACTTCAGTCACGGCTCATTGGCAGTCAGCACGAAGGCTTCTTGGAGAAACTCAGCATGAAAATGTGCGGAAGCATTGTAAGTGCTAAGCTGACTGGACTCTGGAACAGTCAGGTACCTACCCGAACGACCTTTCTCGTCCTGTAGGTATTGGCACCGACAGCGGCAAATAGAGGGTTTACTCCCCATAATCGTACACAACATGTAAGGTTCTTTTTTTCCACATGGCCATCATTGAACTGCCAGAAACCCCTTTTGTCATTCTGTCAAGTAATAGCAACATGAACCCCCCCAAATTGAGGCACAACTCAATCCTTAACGACTCAGCCCAGCCCAACTGAAAGTGGACATTCGCTCGCGTTCCACGATTCCATTTGGGTTACATATAGCTGCGTCAACGGGCAGTGACTAAAGCCGATCACATACCTACCCTACCTACCTTACCGAGCCGCAAGGTCACAGCCGGTGTCCCAAGCACCTGGAGCCGAAAGCTTCCAATGAGCTTCTGACTGTGGGTCACCACCTAGCCAGGATGCAAGAGCATAATATTTACATGCTCGGTCAAGCAATTCACTGCACGTGGCAGCCCAGAAATTGCAGGGAGGTCATAAGGAGAGGGATGAGCCAAGGCCTCGGAAATCTCTGCGATCCGAGGGCCAGAGGGATGTCGGAAGCTTGGTTTTGTCTCTGTACTTGGCCCGGTGATACGGCCAAGACCGTAAGACGAGTTGCAAACAGGTTGCCTGGTGTATGAGTTGAGGTGTCTGGCCTTTGGAGGAGGTCTTGTGGGATAATGTCTTCCTCAAGTCTAGCGCATATGAGACTAAAAGAGCTAAAGATGTGTTTCTCGAGAAGGATTCAGCCACTCAAGAAATGATGAGGAAGAGTAAAGCCGTAGTTGATTTGAGGGTAAACCAGCGAGGGTCAAACATCGAGTCTATGGTACTACCTACGCAAGGACCATCACCGCCACTCAGCGCTCAAGATCACGAGAACTTCAAGAAGACTACCAGCAACTCACGCAATGGTATGTTTCTCACCATGACACTTGGCTGTGTGTCAGCACATTCGCCCAATGTGGGAATATCGATCCCGGTGAGAGTGATTCTGGTGACAAAGCTCAGAGAGGCACAGGAGTAGACTGCTCACTCTGACGATGTTGGCTTGTTGGTTGATTCGTAGGTAGTCTCGACAATATCACGGCGGTGTGATGTATGTGGCTCTGTCAACATGAGGGATCATGATATGGACAGATGCGGTATCATCCAGCGGCTTGACTGCGCAGAGTGATAGCCATGAACTAGGCAATTGCTAGACGTTCCAAAGTCTATAAGAAGACCGAGGAACCATCGCCAACTGTGTACAATCTTTTTCCTCATCATCATCATCATCACACACTTCACCAGCACAATCATCATTCAACAATCCATATTTCACCTAACCTGTCACCTACCTATCCAAACCCATCAACCAGAATGTTCGCTCTCAACACCATCGTCGTCGCCATCGCGGCCCTCGCCGCCACCGCTCAGGGTGCCCCTACCGAGACTACCGTCGAATCTCGCCAGGTCGCCTGCCCCGCCAGCGTCCAGCTCTGCGGCTGGCGTATCCTTAACGATCTCAAGTGTAAGTTCATCTTTGCTTCCCAGCTCTAGAAATAACATATAGGCGCAGGCAAAAGAGCAGAAAGAAGAGCTAACCAAGAAATTACCTAATGGGGCACAGGCTCTGACAAGGCTCACCTCCTCGCCATTTCTCCCCCCGGGACCACCGAGGGCCAGATATTCAACGCCATCTACGAGACTAACTCCACCGGCTCCGTCTGGCACTTTGTCCAGCAGTGCAATGGATGCAACAACTTTGGGGTTGGTATCCCGGCGACTGTTTGCGTCTAGAGAGTTGGTGCTTGTCTTGCACTTTGTCACTCGAGGAGACATTTTGGGGCAATGGGATGTGATGAAGAACGAAGGGTGGCAGTTTTTTTTCTTGATGGTTTGTGGCTTTACCAGCTAGGCCAGCTGTTCATTCCTTGTACACAAACTCTCGGTATTTAGTCGGTAGATCGAAATTAGAGTCTCACGATCTGCGCGCAAATGAATCGCTCTTTCCTTGATACAATGAGTGACACCCGCCACTGCAAAGGATGAGATTTGAACTCGAACTGAAGCCGTGCATATAGGGTGACAAGAACGGAAGGCGCAAACCTTCAACATAACGTCAGCAGCCACTGGCATGGCGGGCCGTCTCCCGTTGACCGATTGTTTGTGTACTACATAGGTCTTATACGAACTTTTCTTAATTATTCTAGGGTTGTAGGCTTTGGGATTCCCGTCAGTTGCCTTCTTATCCCTTCAGGTAAACTGTGCGAAAAGATATCGTGGAGTGTCTTCAGTCTTCCAACTGGGCATACGACCCCAAACAGCTGCTACAGAAGAGGGTTAGGGTTCTCCCTTTGTTCGAATGACACATCTCATTGAGAACAAGCCGCCACGTCTCCTTCCCGACTCTGGTTTTGTCATCTTGTCAACACAGCTACTGCCTCTGCCCTTTTACTCTTGATTTCCAAAGACTCATCTCCATCGTAGGTACATAGCGCAATTCGTCACCCCCCAAAACCCGAACCCACTCAACCCCCACGGTCCGTCGGTAACTGCCGGCGTTGACAGGGAACCCCGCACTTTCTCAGCGCTTGTGCCCCACGCTGCACGTAAGGCGAGTGGGCTGACAAACAGGCTTGTGAAAGGTTTCATTGCAGCCCCGTTTTTTTTCCACTTGCGCATTTTCCCTGAAACACTCATCGATCCTCCACTCATCATCTGCATCCAGCGTCTCGGGTCCGGACAACAACAACTTCATTTCAACTTAACGACAACGAAATACCATCATCTAATCTTGGTTTACTACCTCAAACATACCTGCATAACCTTTTATCAACAGCACCACACTCATCTTCTACCGACCGACACCCCAGTTCCAACAGGGCATCCATCCATCTACCACCCCACAGAGCAAACCCAGACCACACCACCCGCCACGAACGAGGAGGCCACGTGGACAAGCAAAAATCAACAAAAAAAATGTCATCATCAACATTACCACCACCACCACCATCAACCTCGCAGCCGCTCTCCCTAGCAGCCGCCGCCTCCTTCCTCGCCGAAAAAGCCCGCTCCACCTCCCAACTAATCGACAAGACCCTTCTTCCACCTCCATCCAGACCCATTACCGACCCTTGGAACCCCTACCCTTCCAACCCCTCCCTGACCAGGCTGACCAAGCTCTCAGCCAAGCTCCTCCAATTCAACCAGCACGCCAACACGCTCGGTGACTGTCTGACCAGCGCGGCTAGTGCCGGCGTAGCTGACGAGCTGGCCAGCACGCTGGACAAGGCGCTGACGAGGTGTGATCAGGGCGTGGAGGTGGTTAGCGGGCAGGTGGAGTGGCTGGGGAGGGACGACGTAGGTACGGATGTGTTGCAGCTCAATCAGCCGGGGACGGGGAAAGGGAAAACGGAGGTTGATGGACAGGTGATGGAGGAGTATGCGGACTTGTTGATTGCCTACTCAAGATTGTTCATCTTTGGGTCGCAGATTGTCATGTGAGTGTGAACCTGGCTACCTGGCTGGCTGGCTTTGAGTGAGGAGGAGGAGGAGTGATAACTGCCTTTTTGTGTGTGTGATGTGATGTGATGTGCACGGCTAACAGTGGAAACAAAAACAGTTTGGACAAAAACGAGCAAGCGGAGTGGATGGCTAAGGCGGATGTTGACAAGATGATCAACAGGGCTGAAGAGTCGGCGAAAAAGGTGTTGCTTGGGAAGAGCATCCTTAGGCAGCTGTAATGGTTGCCTAACTTGCTTTTCATGGGGCTTTCTTGGGGATATGTGCGACAGTGTGAGCCCATCAAGAGGTTTTTTTTTTTTTCTTGGGATTTCTTTTTTCTTTCGAATTGGAAACAACTATCAGGAAGTTCATCACTGAGATGGTCGAATGCATTGTTTTTGGGGAATCGGATACGTGAGGGGGGGCAATCTGGGTTGTCGTGCTTGTGTGACGACAAGCAGTGAACGGAAGCAATCACATGAGGGCGAAAAAAAATAAAAAGGTCACTTTGGCATGGAATGTATTGATAGCATTATATAGCCACGACAGCGTTCGTTCTAGGAGCAAATGAGGCTGGTAGGTAGGTAGGGACGTTCTTGATATCCAGATCTTTCCACCCAGATTCCTCACGCCAGTCTACTAACCAAGCTCAGTCGTGTTCTAATAGTTTTCCGCCTTTGAATTCCAGCTAACATAGAGAGAGGTAAACAATGGCCGATCCTCCTCCCGATCCTCCCGAGCCTCAATTCCAACGCATCATCAAAGATCCTCCTCTGCCTCCCTTCCATGTCTACGCTATTGCCCGCCTTGCTGGCCGCTACCGCTGTCTGGGAGGTGTCTGTTGCCCAAGCCCATACGAAGCCACGTCGAAAGAGTCCATCGTCTTGTTCCTACGAAGAACTTTCTCGGACGCGTCAAACCGTATCCCCCTGGTTCTTGAACTAGAGCTCGGTTCAGACTTTTATGCCTGCCGCCGTGCCGGTCCTCCCGCGCACAGCCCACCGTCAGCAGCAGAAGAAGAAGAAGAAAAGCCGTGCTTCCCTTTTATACACACATGCCTATGCGTCGGCTCGGCGTCGCTCATGGAAGACGCGCGTTATCAGGGATGGAACCATTTTGGAGAGAGTGTTTTTCCCTTGTCTGCTGATGAGATCCTGGGTAATTGTCCTGTGGGTTGTTGTTATCGCTCAGAGTTACTGCCCGAGGACGCCGCCGTCACTGGCATGTCGGTCATTTTTGTTGATGTGACTGATCCAAGCGACATCAGACATCGCTTTGGGAAATGGGAACCAGACTTGGATCCAGAATCGGGATCAACAAAGCTTGAGCACCTGGTGACTGGGTGGTCGTTGCCTCGATGGTCTGGTGACGGGATGAATAACGGGCTCTTCACTGAAGAGGAAAGACACGAGCTAGCATTTGCTTCCAGGATAGAGCTTGGGGCGTTTATAGGTGAGTGGGAATTTCATTCTAATATTAGTCACCATATCATATCATAAAACGCTTCTGATCATCACCGTGCTCACATCACACTTGTCAACAGAGACTTGGCCAGGGGTAATCTGGGATTTTGATCCCTCGCAACAACCGGTCAGATTGCCCCCGGACAGGCTGGCTTATGCCCAAAGACGTGAAGAGTGGACAATGGATCCTATGGTAGCAACCATGGCCCAGGTGACTTGGGGGGAACTGATCAAGTACGAAGCACCTCTGCCTATAGGCCGACGTGCAGCAACTCGTTCGCATTTTCGATCTGAAATGAAGAAGCAAAAGGGTAAAGTGGTGGCATGGAAGGACGCCGTTCAGCTTCTGAGATGGGTATACCGTGATGAAAGCTTTCTGGACTGGGCCTGCTTTACTGGTCTTACAGCACGTGTTCTGCGGTTGGTGCTCGAAAAAGACCCCTTAGCCGGCGGTAGCCCACTTTCAAGTGCTCGGGTCCTGACTCTTTGTCCTGACTGGGAAAAGGAGGAGCCCAAGGCGATTGCGGAAGCTATATGCTCCCCCACAGGCGTTCGGTTTTGCGATATTTATATCATGACACTACCCGAGCAAGCTGCGTCAATGGAAATCTGTCGAAAAACCAGTCAGCTCTTTCAGTATCTGGCGGAAAACGAACGCTGTCCAATAGGGAAGATGTTGCTGACTGGAACGTATAGCACGAGTCTGCACGAAAGATTCTGGCTTCCTCAACCCAGCAGTCTCTCAGTGACTCGACGATCTCCAGTGTTACAGTTTCTCCTCCACAACCGGGAATGCTCTCCTGATGGCGCCACTGGCATTATCTCGAATACCTTCCAGTCCTACTATCTCAGAGATGCTTGTCTGACCCCCATCAAGCTCGTCAACGGCCTACTTGATTTCATCTACCACACCCATTGGACCCCTTACGACGGTGAACTTGGGCCACCGTGGGGAGACGGTCTTCGATTTTGTATGTGTCTTTCCCGAGCCTCGTCAACCTTTGACCAAGACCATGAACGCCCTCAAATTCAAATCAGCCCTCTCCCCGCAGAGGCCTACGCCATTGCCCGTGCAACTCCCGCCTTCCGAGTACACCCCGAGAGATACTGTCAAAGTCAGAGTGAGCCACATCCACGTTACTATTCTCAGCTCCGCGATATAGACCACGACCATTGGACCCTGATTCTTGTCCAGGAGAGACACAATGCGGTCCAAGAGAGACTCATGCCAGACGGGTCGACCATCATGCTTCCTTCGCTGAGACTCCAGTTCAGCTACTGCTTCGTCCGATCGTCCAAGCCCGAAGCCAGATTCTCACTTGTTGCCGAACGCTGTCGCCCGGCAGATTATGTTCGAGGAGACATGAGGTGGATCGGAGAATGCCCGCTAAGCTGGCTGGACCTTGAGACGACGGACTTGGAGGGCTTCCTCTTGGACACTATGGGTCCAGGAGTAGATGTTGAAAAGCTGGATGCCCGAATCGAATATTACGATGAGAGATCTGCATGGGCGTTGGGGACTAGGGGCGACGTACGGCAAGATGACATTTGGCTGGAATTGGAAGTGATGGATGCCCAAGGAGCCAGAGCCGCGTTGAAGCGTCATTCGAAAAATGTGAAGGTAACGACTGAGGATATGGAAAGGATGAGAGATCGGTATAGGGATAGGGCGTGGGTTTTGGGGGCCGAGGGGGGGAACCAAGGAATGGATGGGGTATGACCGAGGTCGGTAAATTGGGTTAGGAGACATAGCCAAGCTGTGGAAATCAACCTGTGATGCAACATTGGATGGAGTGGCGATGTAGGGAATATGCCCGTCGTTTCACTAGAGGCGTAGATGTTGGCCCGGCCACTTTGTTTGCATGATGAATGACTGGCATTTTTGATGCAAATCGAATCCTGCTGGTGTGGAAAGTCAAAATGGACAATGACTGAGAAGCCCAAGAGAAGTGCCGAAAAATGCTGCCCGTCGTTTTCCGTGAACAGAGAACCAAAGCCAAGACTAGCTCCTGCCATGTTCACAAAGGCCTTCATCCAGACACCGCAACGTTCCTACCCCTGGCATGCTGCAGATGTTTTGGTCACTCCTTCCCCCTTTCTCTCTGTGTGTGCCCTCGAAGTTCCAGAAAAAAAGAAGTCAAAAAGCTCAGCCACCCATTGTCAGGGTGAATCCCCGAGCCAAGCTGCGGCCTACAAAAGACTGTACCACAGTACCGCGTATCTGGGTGATGTTTTCTGGCCACTGCACATCATGCTGCTTGGCTACGCGCATGGTAAACGGGTACAAGTGTTGTTGGCATGCATGAGCTGGGACCTCGCCAGTATGTGGTCTGGGTCCCAGGCTTCTGTTGCTGCCCCTCTGAAATTCAATCTGAATACTTGCCAGTGCCGATGGGTGCCGGTGCCGGTACCCTGGAATCAGTACTCTGCAGCTCATGCCTGGTCTGTGGCAGTTCTTTCAAGTTTGCTACCAAATCCAGTCTTGATGCAAGTTGCTCCTGCACTTCATTCTTGCTACTTCTGGAAATTGGCAAGAGCGTCAACACCCCTTCTTATTGCAAAAGCTAACGAGAATTGCTGGATGCCATCCGTAAGAGATTTATCAAGAAATTGCAATGGAGGCAATTAGATATCTTCTTTTAGCGAGGAGCATTTGATAAATTCGTTGTGTTTTGTTATCAACATCGACTTTTCTTTCGGACATACGGGAAGCAATGAAAGCGGTGAGTCACCCAGACTTGCATGCCTCGGAAGGCTTTGATTCTTGGAGACCCCAGGATGGATCGGTACTCGGTCGTAATGCCCGACGCGCCCTTTGATTCTGCCTACATTGACACCACGCGCACGCACGGGAGGCCCATTGGGTATTCCAGGTTGGACCCAGAACATACCAAGGTGACCGAGGGCATGTTCATCGATACCCAGAAGACAGCCGTTGACCTGATGACAGTGACTCGTATTGGACAATGTCTCTATGAGGGCTTTGGGTAATCTTTGGGTTCTACTACATTGAGAACGATGCCTTCCCATCTGCAAAGCCAGATAACCCAGAGGACAAGGAATTCGCGATCATCAAGCCACTCAGCAAATCCCCTGAACCCCGACCGAAGAACATTTCAGAGACAGCTCACGCTGTCTTGATGTTGGTCTGGAATGACGACAAATGATCATTATCCCGAGTTAGCCACGGCATCAAAGTTGACTTGGCCTTCGGGATCCAATGGGGAATGGATGGTTGTTTTATCTCAATCCATCCAACATCTGCATGCTATCCTCACCGTATGCACCAAGTTTGGTGATATTTCCACGTTTAACTTGCTCATCCTGATGCACACTATTGTGTAGCCAGAGCTTCCTTGCTTCTGGTACCCTTAATTCCGAGCATGATTGCGAGTGACGGCCCGCTTGAAGAGAAGGTGAACCTTTCCAGCCACCGGTCCTACATAACTGAATGGGTCCCCATGCCGGAAGCACAACTTCTTTCTACTTTGTGGCCTGCAAGCTCTAGCCATCCTCTCGAGACACTTCAACCATTCTTCATCATGGCGAAACCCACAATCTTGAAGATTCCCGAAGAAGTCCTAGAAGCTATTCTCAAGGAGTGCCGCACTTGGTATCACCCTTCTGTGAAGAACAAGGACGCCGCACCCATCGACTTCGGCACTTACTCGGATTTCCACTTGCGATTGGATTATGTCAAATACCTACCAGTGTTATTGACTTGCCGGACCTTTCTTCGTATCGCATCACCATTAGCTTACGAATGTGTAAGCTTGGTTAGCCCTGTTCTCCATGGACAGAAAAGGCGCCCATCGTTTCCAGAATATTACACCATGTTACCCAGAAGGGATAGTGGACGTGTCTACTCGTCGCTTTCAGACCAGCTCCATATCACCATCATCAACCTTTCACCACAGGGCATTGAACGGTCGCTAACGACGCTCACATGTCAATCTCGGCCCAAGATAGCAGGGAGTTGCAGAGCACTGAGCATCGACCCGAGATTGCCAGTAACGTAAGTTAAAGTAGTGTACTCGAAGGCCGCTTGCTCAGGTGACTAATTATCGACGCTAGCAGTCCTTCTCAGACGCTGGTGTTGTCAAAAGTGTACTCTGAGGATACGCTAGCCAGTCTCACCACGGTTCGCTCACTCGATTATACCTTAGCCTCGCCGTCCGGCGTGTTCGATCTGTCCCATGTCGATTGGACAACGGATGATTCGGTTCAATGGCAACTCAAGTTCTTTCAAAATGCTGTTACCCATCTGCCACGGGTGAAAAGACTCAGACTTGCTTTTGTCCGCGAAAGGCTCTGTCCATCCATCTGGAATGGTCTGGTTGAATTGCTTGCCCAGGTCAACGATCTGCAAGTTATGTGTCTCTCCCACATGCGTTCTCTAACTGAACAACGCGGACCTCATGCCGCACCTGGGAACCCATTTGCAGATGAGGTGCTACAGGCAAGTACACACACCCCGGCTTCGGGACCATGCCATTGTGTCTTCCATTGTCACTACCCCCTACTAACAAGCCACAGAGTCCAAAACACACCGCACGATTCACAACACTCATTTTGAACAACTACGGGCGATGTTACAAAACCCTTGAGTATCTCATCCGATGGCCACGCAGACTCGAGCATTTTTCTTTCACGCTGCGATTTGGCTTGGAATCCTTGTACTTGAATGATATCCACATGCGCGACGGTCCTATGGCCGGCCAGATCGTTCAGAAGTTACATGACATGCTCGAACCTCATCGGACTACGCTGAAGAGCTTACGAATAGGGCTCGCGTTGACACCGGTTGCGTTTGCAATGGCGTACATGCCTGGGCTTGACTATCCCGCTGGGGCCAATTTCGGATTGGACCACGGCATCATACCAGACTTTCGAGACTATCGAAACCTACAGCACCTCCACATTGCGTCCATCTTTACTGGTCATCAGGATTTCTGCGACCGGTGGAGATTTAGAAGTGAATCCCGCGACTTGGACGAGTTACACCGGGATGTAGACCGACTTCTCGCTCCGACTCTATATCGCATCACTCTGGATGTCGGCTGCGAGTTCTCTCTGCGGCACTGCCCTTGCTTCCCCCTTGACATAAAGGACCAGCCAGTCTGCGACCTCCTCTGTCCTCTCGATCAGGACCTTTTTGCCTTTCTCATCACTCTCGCCCGGCGCGCCAAGTATCGGAGGGCTCGGCTTTGTCAAATCCACGTCAACTACTGTGTCAGGCCTTTTGCTCTTCCCATGCCCGTCTCCGATCTTCCAGAAGGGTTCGATCGGGAATGGATTCCTCAGTATCACTATTTCGATCCGTGGGAATGGCTCGAAAGAGTCAAAAGGAGAGTGGAGAGGCTCGGCATCCTGTTCACCTACAATGGTCTGGAACCTGTATGCGGCGTGCCTCGAACGCATATCCCGATCCCCGAAATACCTTTCGATATGTCGGTGGCGGAATGGTTGCAGCTTTGCAGACAGCATCATTTACAGCTATTCAACTACGAGGATGAGATGTGTTCGGAGCACGTCTGGACGGTGGTCAAGAGCGGCTGAAAAAATTGCTGCTGCTGCTGCTGCCTTGGCCTAAAGGCTGAAGGAGGAGGAGGAGGTCGAGAGAGAGAAGATTGCTCCGCGAGGGGACCGCATATTGTCTGCATTGTTGCAGCAAGAGTGTTGAGGAACATATGTTGGTATGACGCAAGTTTGTAAACCGAGAGTTTGGTTAGATGAGACAAAGACAGGAAAGGAAACGACAACAAGGAATTATCGGAAGAATACCTAAGAATCACAAGGAGTTGGATGGATGTATGGGCTGGAGTTTACGCTTGATTTTGTACTTGGCATAGCGAAAGGTTTCCTTTATCATGATCGAATCTGCATCATAGGTATTTTGCCAGAGCAAAGGGTCATAAGATTGAACCGACCATAGATAGTCCAATATCACACAGTTTGCTCTGGAAGGGCCGTTATGGAACGGTGATAATCCTCGGTGTTGATTGGAAGTACGTCGGCTAGAGTCTATAAGCGATTCTATCTTACTCGGATGGTATTCTATCTTACTCGGATGGTATTCTATCTTACTCGGAGGGTATTCTGTCTTACTCGGATGGTATAAGAAAAGACGTACGGATGCGTTCACTAGTGTACCGGATGTGTAGAAGATCGTAACGTGTCTGGTCATATTCACCTTTCGCCAGGTCGCCAAAATGCCACTTCCCTTGCCCTGCTGTTATCCACCGAGCGGGGATCGAGGGCAGTTGCGGCACGGGGAACGAGCTGAACGTCCCTATCGAACGGCGCCGGAGTGGAGCCGAGGAGATTCCATCACTCACGATTTCTCAGCTAGGTACATGATGACATAGGAATACTAGAGTTACATTACAATTCACTACTTGCCCATTAAATTGCAAGACATTGCTCGGACAATAACAACAGGCAGACATAGCCAAGTCCCATGAAAGTGTAACCCATCACCCCATCCGGCCCATTATTACCCACCTCCACCTTACCTCTACCTCTACTACCCTTCCGTAGAGGTACCTTGGTTGATCTATCGCTGATCATAAGTAACACTAAACTGCGTAGTCATCTGAATCCCGCCACCCGGTCTGCCTTCCCCTCCCACCTGGTTCATCCTATCTGCTGATCGATCCCTGTCTCTCAACCCTATGCCCAGCCTTGAGTTTGATCTCGACATCGTCGTCGCCGCCGACACAGAAGACACATGAAGAATGGTATCTTCGCTAGTCGCATCCCCCGTCGTCGTCACCATCACCATCTTATCATCATCTTCTGTCGACACCCTATCCCGTTGATAAACAGTCGTCACTCTGCCCACATCCGTCGTCGACGATATCTTTCTCTCCACATCATCATCATCATCATCATCATCAGACGAAACAGACCCCGAAGCTGACGGGCGGCGGTGGCGGTGGCGGCGTCCAGAAGACCCCGTGGTGCTGCTGTATTTCCTGTCCATCTCAACAAACATGCCGCCCCCCTGATGCTGATGGCGCGGCGATCTGCTGAGACCGATACCACCAACACCAACACCGGCTTCGATGGCGACGTCGTGCTGATGCGGACCTTGCCAGCTTCGTAGCTCGGATTGGGAAGAGATCTCCCGGTGGCCAATGTCCCCTTCGGGACCGGTGCGTTGTTGTTCGCGCCGGGAGATGGCAAAGTATTTGGGGAAGAGGTAGGCGAGTGGGAGGCGGCAGACGGGCAGGCAGGCGCAGATGATGGCCATGTTTTGCTCGATGATGGTCCAGATTGAGGAGTCGAGGTCGTCTTTCGAAAGTCAGTTCAGTTATTTTGCAAAACCAAAAAAAAAAAAAAAAGAAAAAAAAAAAAAAGATAGGGGTTGAACAAAAAGGATAAACGAGAGAAAGAAAACATACAAGTCGTATCAGGCGTCTTCGTCGAAAAAGTCAAGGTCTGCATCCTCAAAATACTCGTAATCGTCGTGAAGAAACCAAGAGCAAACATGAGCACCACCGCCACCTTCTGCGTCTTGCGGAGGTGCGACGTGAAGATGGGGTACATGGGCAGCGCCAGAATGAGGATATCCGTGCTGATGCTGAAGCCGGCGTTGGCGTACCAGTTGACCGTGATGTCGACGCAGGTTCCAGGAATGGATTTGTCCCAGGCGCGAGCGACGGGCGTGCATTGCCAAACGGAGGCGCCAAAGGTGGCGATCATGTAGGCGATGATGATGCCTATGAGGATGTAGCAGGCAATGCGGAACCATCGTTGGACGAAGATGCGCAGGTAGAGGAGCAGGATGGAGGTTTTGGTGAGGTTGATGGTGATTTTGTAAAAGGCTTGGGCTACGTAAAAGAGCTGGATGGTTGCAGGACGTGTTAGTGAGATGGTTTTTTTTGGGGGTGAAGAATTGGATTTTTTTATTTTTTTTTCATACCTTCAAAGTCATGAGTTTATTCTCCCTCGAGAGGTTTCGGATATGTTGGCCGAATCCATAGGCACATGAGGCTATCATGAGTGCCGAAACCACAGTAGCAAAGACCTGTTGATAGTGTTAGACCAAACTAGCCTCTGCAATTCATCGACATCTCTCCAGTCCCGAAACCAAGATCAACGAACCCATGATAGCAAAATCGTATAGTCATCCCATCCTAGGCCCTTCCATGACGCTGGCTTGAACCGAGCCCATAGCCTAATACCGATCAAGAATAGAGTAACAAAAAAGAGGACGATAGCCGGAGTCTCGATGGAGTGCGCCCTGTTGTCGCCGGGCTTGTTCCCGGGGACCCTGATCATCTTTTGACAAGGCGACCCTGCCGTGGTTAAGTCGTGGAGAAGAGCGGAGTGGGGTCTTAGGAAGAAGATGGGCGTGCAAGCTGGAGAGTATCCATAATACTATATTTCTTGCGGGAGGCGATCAAGACCTTCAAGAAGTCAAGACCAGCCAGGTGTGTGGATGGGTGGTCCATGGCCGGTAAATACCTATCCCGATTCTTGATCAATGGCGGAAAAAAGAAAGCAAAGTTGTACCATAGTCAAAAGCAGACTATCTTACTTGTTCCTATATCTCCTACCTTGTTTAGAAGTCCAATGGCTGGTAGTGTGGTATTATGTGGTAGGTTGATGCAGTGTGAGTAGTGCAAAGTCAAGCTGATGCGCATGTCTTTGAAGCTGCGAGACATTGACTGGCTGACGGACTGTGACTGGCCGTCGAAGCTGTTTTTCTTTCTTTCTTTCTTGACAAACGCAAGGGAAACAAAGGTCTTGTCGTAGTCGCTTAGAAGACTGGCAAGCCAGGCCATTCCCACAGTGCTTCCCAGACGAGATTTGATGCTACTCTGGTGCAGCAAATGCCCTGTCTCCTGCGTCCAAGCACTGTCTAGATTAGGTGCGATGGCCGATCCGGTAGGTTAAACCGAAAGAGCCGCCGGGGTTGTGGGACGGAACTTTTTCGGATGGCTTGTCGGCGCGGCTCAAAAGACTGTGTCGTTGTGTGGTTTTGCGTCGATGCCTTTGAAATGCAGGTACGTAAGTAATTTTTAATGATCTACCTGCGCCGCCAATATGTATCAAGATTATCGTATGTATTGACTCTGGAAACACGAAGGCCATTTGGGATGCCCACCTGCCGCACCCGGAGCCACGCAACCCAGCTGCAGGCCGGGAACGGGGTATCGACATGTTGGGAAGGTGAAAAGCAGAAAATTGCCAGAATGAGCTGTTTGAATGATCGGGTTAATTGCGGTTCAATGCCCCAAGCGTCAATAGAATGCCACCTACCTATAGTCCTCGGTCGTCGTCATGTATATCGAAGCCGTCCTATCTTGTCCCTGACCATCTAGGTTACATATATACCGCGTGTTGTGGTATCTCCACCCCCACCCAACTGCCACAACCGAGGACTGGCATTGCTTCCTTGCCAATACCCATCACCACTACTTTGTGCACGGGCGTACGTAAATGGGTAACATGGCGAGCTCGCCCAGCCTCCTAACATGTATGTAATCTTCCGCAACCGACGGTGTGCTTCGTGAAGATTCTGACTTTCCCGTCCGAGCGGTCGGTCGGTCGGTCGGTGGAATGCGCCATCCCCAAGACTTATAGTAATTACGAGGTAACATTTGGTACCAAAAATCTCGCAATCTTCACTGTCGAAGTATCTCCTTTGCTCGGGCATACCGCTCCTTGGATGGAAGGTGAAGAAAGGCCGCAGCCGAATATCCGATTGCGACCTTATATACCACCCGGATCCCACCACCAAGTAACAGCAATGTAAAGGTGATGAGCCCCCAAGCCAAACCAGATCTTCACCTGGCTTGGTATCACATCACACCCGCTGCACCCACACCATCACACAGACCCAGACGCCGGAGCAACCATCATGAAACTCCTCACCCTCCTTATCGCCGGCGCTGCTTTGCCGCTCACCTCTGCCGCTCCCGCGTCGACGGCCATCGTCAAGGACGCCTCTGCCGATAGGGATGCCTCGGTGGCCGCCACCCTCGCCCAGAGCAGCAAAGACATCTACCCAGCCAAGTGTCCGGAAAACGTCAACGGCTTCAACTACACCTACCCCTCGACACTATGGTTCTACAACCTGACCTCGACCGTCCAGGGGTCGAGTGAGGTGCTCGAGATGGCCTTCATGGACCTTCTCCCTCCCAACTACAACCCTCGCAACGCGGAGCCGCAAACCATCCTTCTCCTGCACGGCAAGAACTTTTGCGGTCCCACCTGGTACGCGGCCGCGACGCCCTTGCAAAAAGCCGGCTACCGCGTCATCCTACCCGAGCAGCTGGGCTTCTGCAAGTCGACCAAGCCGACGCAGTACAGCTTCAACTTAACGTCCTTGGCAACCAACACACACAACCTGGTCAAGGCGCTCGGGATCACCAAACCGCCAATCGTCATCGGCCACTCCCTCGGCGGCATGCTCGCGTCGCGCTATGCGCTGACGTACCCGGAGTTTACCAAGTCGTTGATGCTGGTTAGCCCTATCGGCTTGGAGGACTGGAAGCAGCTGGGCGTGCCTGACCGCTCGTTTGACCTGTTGACGGGGGATGAGAAGTCGACGACGTATGCCTCGCTGAGGGGGTACGAGCAGGCGACGTACTACCCGGGCGCCGAGTGGACCGAGGACTTTGACAAGTGGGTGGTGATGCTGACCAAGGTGTATGAGGGCGACCAGAAGGAGAAGTTCTGGGCGGATCAGGCTCATGTGGTGGAGATGGTGCTGGGACAGCCGACCATTCACGAGTACAACAAGATCAAGCCCAAGACGTTGTTGGTGGTGGGCGAGAAGGATAACACGGCTATTGGCAAGGTGTGGTCGCCGCCCGAGGTGCAGGCAAAGCTCGGCCACTATGCTGTCTTGGGACGCCAGGCACAGGCGGCGATTCCTGATGCTACCCTTGTGTCGTTCCCGTATCTTGGACATGCTCCTCAGATTCAGGAACCCGAGATGTTCAACCGCCTGCTGGCAAGCTGGGTGAAAACCGGCGGCCGCACCCTGGAATCGCTCAAGCTGAATGCCACCATCATTAGGTAGAGCATGGAGTCCTAGAGAAGTAGGGTCAGTGGCATTTGGATTGTATATATTCGAGTCATCAACATAGACACACTGTAGTAGTACTGTAATGAATGATAATGGTTTGGAAATGGCAGCCTTCATGTATTTTGCCTGGGGAGAAGCCTCCATCGACTTCTCAGGATATCTGGAGTGAAGAACGTACATGGCCATCCGACACAGTCCATCGCGAGCCATTGCCTGCAAGCGACACCGTGGATTCCCGCCCTTGCTTGTTATGCATGAAAGGAAAAACGTAGACATCGGCTTGCAGAGGCACCCTTGTGATCATGATCCCGAGCCGCGCGCGGTCAAGGGGGTTCGAAGAACTGGGTGTGAATTGACCTGTATATCATGCATGTGGTATGACTCCCGAGCACGCCGCAACCGAAATGCAAATGCCTGCCAATCCAGCCGGGCCGGTTAAGGCCTTCATCCTCTGCATCTTCCTTTCATCTGTGGGGAAGACGAGATTCCGGATGACATTGTTCGTTCCTCGAAAAAAAGACCCGCGCAGCCCATAAAAGATCCATTCCATTTGTTCCTGGACAACCCCATTTACATGACGACACCAGAGTTGGAGGCAATACGGGGCCAAAGCTCAGCAGCCTCCTTACCGACGGGGCCGGTAATGGCGGAACCCTTCATCTCACCCTTGGGGTTGACGATCTAGAAAGAGCAGTGGTCAGCATTGTCCGCTTGTAAACATGGCTCCCAACGGCCCGGCATTGTGGTTCTGCATCCGTGCCATTTTCCCCATTGACTATCCTCCTCTGATCCTCCCAATGCAGAACTCAAATATGCCCAGGCCGTGGTAGAGTGGTATCGGTGAGCACTTACGACACCGGCGTTGTCCTCGAAGTAGAGGAAGACACCGTCGAAGCGCTTCCAGGGCTTGGACTGGCGGACGATGACGGCGGGGTGGACCTTCTTGCGGAGCTCAGGCTTGCCCTTCTTGACGGTGGCCATGACCATGTCGCCGACACCACCAGCGGGGAGACGGTTGAGACGAGCACCGATACCCTTGACGGAGATGATGTAAAGGTTACGGGCACCGGAGTTGTCCGCGCAGTTCATGATGGCACCGCTGTAAGAGTCGCCATGTTAGCTATTCATTCCTGTTTCGGTGTTGTCGTTTGTGCGTTTCGTGTGATTTGTGGGTGTACGGGAGTGCCGATTCGTCATGTCTATCGCGTTCGTGCTCGCTTGGAGAATGATGATTCGCGTTTCGTGCTGGACGGGACGGGAATGGGATTCGTAACGTACACTGGGAGACCCAGGGTCATCTTGAGCTTGCCACCGGGGGCACCACGACTGTAGACATGCTGTTAGCTCACTGATTTCGCGGCTGGTTCCAAAATTCGTCGCTGTCTTCTGGCTGCTTGCTGTCGGTCCCCATCTTCTGTTCATGGTGTCCAGAACCTCCAAAAATCGTCCAAATGACCCCTGGTTCAATCGGGCATCCTCCTCCTCTTCCACATGATCTCGTCGGTGCAATTTCCTCCTCTTGCGGCCACCTCAGTTTGTCGAGCAGAACCTCGGCTGGACGGGCAGCAAAACAGCCAGAAAACAGGTCGGATTTGATCGCTGACGTGGTTACTCACGATTGCTTGGCCATTGCGACGGTCTGGTTGCTGAAATGGCGACTGGTGATGGGGGAGTCGAAATTTCGGAGGGGAAATTCAGCAAGGCCAAAATTGAACGACAGCCGCGATATTTTTTTTGGGCCTTGGGTTGGTGTGGACCGCAAACCCTACCGTCCCTTGTGACGGTCACGTGCAGTGGCCAAGCCCGTCAAGCCAGACGAACAACCTCAGGCTTGGCACGGAATAGTGGGGCACCGCTTTTTTTCGTGCAGCCCAGACCAGTTTGAACTTGACAATTCCCTTTGCGCTGTTCAACCGCCAGCCATGAAGACCATTTCATCAGCTCACAAAACGACGCAATTGACAGCTACAACGATCGGAACGGCAAGCGAAAAGAAGTCATCAGTCAGCAAGCTCAAAAAAAGGACAGAACAAGCTCTACGTGATGGTATCTTACAGCAAAACTGTGCGCCAATCGAGTCAAAAATCGCCAAGTCGCGCACCAATCAATATCAACCGCGCGCCATGACGTCCGGCAATAACCACGCCAAGACACTTCGACGGCCGTAGAGGTACCACAAACACACTGACGATGTCAATCCTCACTCGACATCATTCGGGTTACCCAGCACGCGCAAGTCGCCCTTTGCTCCTCGACTAGCCTTGTTGCCCTCAACGTATTTTAGCGGCCTATACACCGGATCCCACATCTGCTCCCTGATCCATTCATCAAGGTCCTCCTCCTTGGTTGGCACATCTTCCTCCTCAACTACACCCTCCTCCATGGCCGCCAAGATGACTCTCCGAGCCACGCGTACACTCACATCGCGCACGACATCGACACCGGGAAGCAGCGGCGCCGTATCATCTTTCAGTGCCGGGCCCATCTCAGCCACGCCCTTCGATGCCGCCATCAACATCTTGTCAGTCACACGGTTGGCCCGCGACAGCACAGAGCCGAGACCGATGCCCGGGAACACGACGCTGTTGTTGCACTCAGCCACTTCGATCTCGATCTCCTTGCCATCATTACCCCAGGGGCCCTTGACTGGGTCGAACGGACTGCCTGTGGCGACGAGGGCCTTGCCGTCTGTCCAGTTGAGGAGGTCCTCAGGCACGGCCTCGTGGAGCTTGGTTGGATTTGACAAGGGTAGGATGATGGGGCGCTCGACATGCTTTGCCATCTCACGGACGACCTCTTCCGTGAACGATTTCGGTTTTGTGGATGTGCCGACTAGAATATGCGGCTTGACCTCCTTGATCATAGCTAGGAGGTCGGTCTTCTTATCGGCCCAGTCGTCGTGCGACTTGGCATACTTTTTCTGAGCGTCTGACAGTGATTCTGACTTGGTGGTGAGTAGTCCGGGTTTATCGATGAGCCTGCGTAGTGTCAGTGTTGTAGTGCGTGAAGAGACCTGTCCTAGGTCTGGAATGCGTCGCCATACCAGATTTGCTTGCCAGCCTCCTCGGGACTGATGTCTGCATCTGCAGCAATAGCATCGCGAACATGGTCCGCGATACCAACACCTGCCGTACCAGCACCGAAGACCACCATCCGGATGTCGCTCAACTTCTGCTTTGAAATGTGTAAACCTGCCATGATGGCAGCCAAAGTTACACACCCCGTTCCTTGAACATCGTCATTGAAACAGGGGATCTGGGGCCGGTATCTCTCCAGAAGTCGACGTGCTAGCGATTATGTCAATAACCATGCAGGCAAGTAAACGTTTTGCAACATACCATTGTCCAGGCCAAAGTCTTCAAAGTGGATGTACGCTCTAGGGTAGAGTTCACGCGCAGCCTTGACGAAGGTCTCAACAAACTCGTCGTATTTTTCACCGCGGACACGCTTCTGCCGCAGGCCAAGGTAAAGATCGTCCTTCAAGAGCTCCTCGTTGTTGGTGCCGCAGTCCAAGACCACCGGGAGCACACGGTTTGGATGAATGCCACCGCAAATGGTCATCAGTACCAACTTGGCGATGGAGATAAGGATGCCACCACATCCTTGGTCACCGATGCCCAGAATTTCCTCGCCGTCTACACTTTGTCAGCCATCTTCCTCGCTCATGAAATCGTTTTTCGTCAAAAACCATTGCTTCTTACCGGTTACCACGATGTAGTCAATGTCTTCAGGCTTTCCCCACTGTGCCAAATCACGCTTTACGGAGTCCATATCATTGATGTTGAGGAACACTCCTTCGGGTCTCCTGAATAATCTGGAGTAGTTTTGAATGGCCTCTCCTTCTTTGGTGTGTAGACTACACTAAACATCTCGTCAAGATGATCATGCAAAAGCTGAACAACCACTGAAGTCAGAACAACGGACATCCTAGACCTATAGCAATACTATTTTGTACAGAACAAAAATGCAATCTTACCCTATAAAACAACACCTCATTCTGCTCCTTCATCGAAGTCATGAATGTATTCTTGGCCAGATCATTGGGTTGACTGCAATACTGCTCATATGCCCTTTGGACCTGCTGTTCCAGGGACTGGATATGTGGCGGTAGCAAGCCATGAAGAGCAAAGTCGCGACGCTCTTCCTTTGTGAAGGCGGATCCCTTGTTGAAGTAAGGGTGGTTGAGCAGCACGGTGCCTTTCAGAGCGCATTCTAAGGGGCCGCTTGTGCTCAGGGGGAGATGGGAGAATTTTGACCCGTTTTGGGCTTGTTCATCTTGGGGGTTCTGGGAGTGGGACATGTTGCGAATCTGATGAGCTTGGCGTCGTGACACCGCAGTGCAGCCACGCAAATGTCTTGAATGGACGGGAAAACGGGTCACCAAAGCACGCTTTGGAATGCGCGAAATCAAAGACTGGGTGCTGAACATTGAGAAGGTTATTCACCGCACATGGACGGTTGTTTTCTCACGCTTTGGTCTAGTGACAGCCAGAACGAACAACATGTTCAAGATGGGTGTTAAGGATCGACTTCCTGATATTTACCTATGACGTAGTTGACACCCATCACCGTGGACGGCAAGTGGGGAGAGCTTGACGGTGAAACGGTGAGCTTCCCAAGGTCAGTCGCTGCCACTCATAGTGTGCATAAAAGGCGCACAGACCAAACACTTCACAGCACATCAAGACCGATACATTTCACAACAACATTCACAAGCAGGATATCAAAATGTTGGACATCTTGGAGCCTCGAAGTTGTGAACCCCCGTTTCCTCCCCTCCGAAGAAGAGAAGAGACGGACAACGACGCGGACTATGATGGTTCATATGGTAAAAGATTACTCTTGCAACATTTCAAGCAGCAGAGAAAAAGGTCCAAAGACCCCCCTCCCTGTTGCCCCCATCTCCAACCCCTTCCGAGTTGCAACACAAGACGTGCCGCAGAAGAGAAGGTCTCCCGAAGGAGCCCCATGAGAACAGCCAGATGGCCAGAGCAGTTGGAGAATGGTTGTTGCGAAACTGGGTTTGCGAAAGCAGAGGCAAAAAGTAAGAATGATCACCAACCGTTTTTGCCGCGTAATAAAGGTGCAGTTGCACATGCGGAATTGCATCGTAATACGAATGCCATGTACCAGTCCAGTATTCAGACTTGATGAATACGAGTGCATCGATGGCGGCGATAGCACCTCGCTGGCTCTTCATGGTGCTGCCGCCATCACAGTTTGTTTTGGAGGGGAACAAAACACAGACCAAAATATTGCAGCATTCGAGATTTTTGAAGCAATTTGATTTTGGGGACGCACAGTTGCTTCGGCGGAAACTGTGGGTCTCCACAGAGCTGTGTGGCAGCCGCAAGCCAGCTGGCGTTGCTCTGTACACTTGCCAAGCATTGAAGTGGAAACGCTCTTCAATCAACTTCACATCGTCAACAAGGAACCAAAACGCACTCCCGTCCATGGCAAGGTTCCCAAATCTAACCCCAATGTCACTCGCCCGCCATTACGCAGTACACTGAGAACAACTTGACGAAGCATACTTGTATACTCAATGCCCTGCGGTCACATCAGTACAGAGCCGATTGTGCACCCATGCCGGATTTCCCCCCGTCTTTCTCCAATCGAAGCTCTCGATCAACTTCCCGATCTCTGCGCCGCAATCAGCTTTTATGGGGTATTCTGCAAGCTCATCTGCTCAGCTGAGAAGCCTGTAATTGTAGCCGCAATAACGCCTGTCAAGAGATTGGAAAGCGGTTGAAGCATTCTGGTAAAGTGCGATGCCTTGTCGGCCGTATGAGCATAACAAGAGGGATCTCTGTGTATGGAGATGGGTTCTGTCTCTTTCCGATATGATGTGTACCAACTTACCTGGCATTCTGGATCTATTAAGCCGTATGTTGACGGAGAAGCCACACGAATCCTGATAAAGGGGCATCTTTTTCTCCCAAGCATGAAACTCCAAATCCTACATCGAGCGGAAATGATGACCACTCAATTTCAGCAGCATGAAATAACAAAAACTAGAGGTACCGAAATGGAGATGATCAAAGTTGAATTTTCCCAGTTAACGCGGTCGTGAGGCATCTCAGGGCAAGCACACTGGATGCGCTGGGCGTTGTGGCACCAACTTGGTAGCCGCGATGGAGCATGACATAATCGTCAAACAACATCTCCGTTCGAGAAATCGTGAAGACCTCGTGCCGGTTTGTACTTGCGTCTACTACAATTATTTGCGATACCGTGTACACTCGAGTTACTTCACCATCCTGTCTGTTGCGGAGATGATGCAGGTTCTGATTGTTTTCCTGCTCAACTTCATCTTTACCTGGGCTCAAGGGGACAATGGCACATACTGTTTGGCCACAAGCTGGATAACGGAAACGTTATTTACTGCTTGTGGTGTTCTAGAGACCATTACGGTAAGATCTCAAAGGCGCACAGGATAGACAGTACGTTACCTACCACGCCGAGAACACAGGTCTACGAAGAAGCGCCATGCCCAGTCACGACAAGTATCGTACTTCCCGACGCCGTCTTGACAGGAGTGACGATACAGCCGGCTAGCTCGCCAACTGCATGCTGCGTTTTGCCTACACCAGCGTCTTCCCTTAAGCGGATCGCCTTCGAACCGAATGCCACCGATGTAGATTCAATCTATTTCTACACGAGTAACAACGCTACATCCCCATATTACATTGGTACGCTTGTAGACGGGTTCCGTTGTCTCCTTGATGTATCGCCAGAGGCCTTAGCGGCCGGCCGTCTTGCTGCGTATCTGTCCAACGGGGAGTCCATCATCTTTGACGAGACTGGTATGCACTACTATGGTGCAGGTTGTAACACCACAACTTCCATCACCATCTCCGATTTCTTGGCCCAACTCGCAGGATTGCCAGACGTACCACCATCAGCCGGCGCTGACCCGAGAGGCAGAAGAGTCACAGAAAGAGACCTTCCCGAGACCAACTTCACCGTCGCAGTCCAGGTAGCAGCTGCCATTGACCTCTTCCTCCACGACCCCCAAGTAGCCTTTGGTGACTCGCCCTGCAGTTTTGTCGACATCCAGAACATTACAGAATGGGACATACACTCCTGGACATGCCAATATCCCGGCGCCAACAGCAGCGAGAAAAGCTGCGAGGAGAAATTTCACTCCTGGTTTAAGGCCGACTCGCCTTCTCCCTCGGGAACTGGCCTCGACCAGACCGGAAACGCCCTCTTCAACTTCGTCCCTCGTCTCGTTAACCGCGTCGAAAACAATATTGCGGATCTCTTCCCCGGCATCAGCGAACCGCTTCAACACGGCCTAGCTTGGCTCAACAATGCACACAACGCCGTGCTGCACGCTGCTGATGTCGGTGGGGGTGAACTGTGTGAGATACTCCATGCCCTCGACGAGTACGATCTTATCTTGTCAGACCCGGGATTGCCGAGCTTGCACACCATTGGGAACTACCACTCGCCGCCGGTAGCAACAATCACCGAGGTGTTCGAGTCCCATACGAAAAGGATCACAAAGGAACCGCCGAGGCAAGTAGTACCGACAGAGACGAGCTTCCCGAAGGTGACGGAGACTTCGTTCTCGGAGATTCCAGATCTTCCAGATCTGGCGTCGACATTGATATCAGCAGAGGAGAACTTGATCAAGGCTGCCATTACTCCTTTTACGTCATTGGGATCTTTGCTTGATGCCCCGTTAGAGGCAAGTGATGACGAAGCCTCCAAGAGGTTGCCGACTGTCACTGTGACGGCTATTGTTACGGAAATTGTGACATGGTTTGGGATGACTTCGTCGGCAGAAGAAGACAGTTTTATCTCGAGTATGTCTGCTAAAATTCAGTCACATCTTGAGGATGACAGTTTGGCGAAGTGAACAGCGTACTGACTTTTCTCAAGACCGTTGTTCGGTGAGAATTCAGGAGGTGTTGTTTTCGAGAGGTGAAGAAGCTCATCGTGTACCATTCAATCGATGATTGTATTTTACATAATACTATCTTCCTTGAGGATCATATAGCAAATTTGACTGCTGATAAAACGTATAATTCCACTTCATGTTGTTCTCTGCCCTGGTTGATTGTCGGCGCGTGGAGTTGGGGCGCGGGACGGGACGGGATGAGGAGAGCGGAGTGGGGTCCAGGAGGATTCGGTTCACTATTGTTCGCTACGAAGCCACTATCTGAGTCAATCAATGAACCATGCATATTCTGTTAGTGATGATAAGACTACTGTTAATGCACTCGCGGGAAACAAACAACGGCAGCAGTCCAACCTCATCGCCGTCGGGCCGCACCCAACATTCAGCTTGCCCCCCAACATCCCTTGTCAGCAACGAGCCGCATGATGGCTCAGCTATCCCGATGGAGGTTGGTATCACTTTCTCACCCGGCTAAGAAATTGCGGCGCAGTTCGACTTTCACACTCCTGCCAAAAACACATCTCGTTCTCCCATCGCGTCTTGTCTGTCATCATCATTTGAACTTTCCAGTTCTCAACTTTGAGATTTCACCAGCTTCAATTGCCAAGCCAAGTAACAAGTGTTACCCCCTATGTACGATCGACATTGCGTTTGAACCCTTGGACCATCCCAGACCCGTGAGAACCTCAACGGCTCGTCCTCCATAAGTTGACCCCACCGTCCCAGATTCCCCAGACTGCGCGGTGACGACAGTTCCGTCGTTGTGCATCAACATTAATACCTGTTCACCAATCTGCCATCTCGAACCGAATCGCCATGCTACTCTCATTACGCTTCCTCATTCTAACCATCAGTTTCCTGGCCTCCTTGGCCTCCGCCCGCGACGTCCCATCCAACCTCCAAAACCTCTACACCAAACTACTCAAGCAAAAAAAATGCAAACACCCTCTAGCCTCGGGCTTCTACAGCACCGCAGACGGCCCCAACACCTACTCTTACTGCGGCGACCACCTCTCCGATTTCCGGATCCTCTACATCCGCGGCCGCGGCCGCGGTCGACTAGCCAACATGGACGTGGACTGCGACGGCGTACAAGGAGGGGCTAGTGACGACGGAAGATGTTCCATCGGTGTGAGCGCGGATTACCAGTCGACCACGGCCTTCCAGGACATGGTGGCGGCGTATAACGTTTCGGGGGTCCGGGATCTGAACACGTACGTGCATCCGTACGTGGTATTTGGAAACGAAGTTGAGAACGACAACAACGGCAAGGATTTGAGGTGGAATGTCTTTGATCCGAGGGCGTATCTGGTTGAACCGCTCAGCGTGATGGCGGTGGTGTGCGATGGGGGCAGCAAGCTGGTGTATGGAGTGTGGGGCGATACGAATGGGGATGATGGGGATAAGAGCATGGTGGGGGAGGCGAGCCTGGCGCTCGCGACGGCGTGTGGAGGGGGAGAGATGAGTGGGAGTAATGGGATTGATGAGGAGGATGTGTTGTATTTGGCGTTTGTGGGGTCGGAGGCGGTGCCGGGTAAGATGGGGGCGAAGTGGGATGCGGGCAGTTTTGACGAGTTTGAGAGGAGCATTGAGGGGTTGGGGGATCACTTGATCCAGAGGATTCCGGCGGATGGGAAGGCGTCGGGGACGGTGAGGGTGTCGTGGGGATTGATGATTTGGATGTTTGTGGCTTTAGTGGGTAGTCATCTTGGATTATGTTGAATTTAGGGAGACATGTGTGATTGAATTCTAGCGGATATGGTGTTTGCAATCGACGGAGGAATATCGGATCTGGCGTAATTTTTCGAACGGGCAATGTCTTACAGAATAAAAATGATCTTATAATGCCGCTGCGGTCTTTCGGAGGCGGTGCCGGAGACTATGGTTTCCAGCTGCACAATAAGGCATCACTCGACGGGATTTATACCTACAATTATGCATGGAAACACCAGTTTCTTGCACCTCCCCCCAGATCTATACCTATGACCATTTCACAGCCCGATCTTTGACTGCCCTATCTGCAAAGGAAAAGACCAGATTACTTTCCTGTACTCTCCACAGCCTGCCTTTTTTTTTCTTTTCTTTTCTTTTTTTTTCTCTCTCTTTTTCTCTTCTTCTCGGGCACTCCTTTGCCCGCAAAAAGAAACATCGTCATCAATACCGCCAAAACGAAGAAAAAAAGAAAAAAACTATGTATATCATCAGCTTTGTTGTCGGGGGCCTTGCAGGCTCTGCAATGGCCCTCGAATACGCCGACCTCGCTCCCTGCGGTGTAAGTAACCTCCTATCCTATCCTGTCCGAATCATCGTCGGCGTCGTCGTCGTCGTCAGCACCACGATCATCACCAGGGGCATAAAACAATGGGCGCTCCGTCCTCAAGCAACTTTGCTGATGGCATACAAAAAAAACCAAAGCAAATATGCATCAAGAACATGTTTGAACAGGCATACAATATGAATTGCCCCCCGTATCCCGACGGCCGGCCGAACCTTGAATGCCTTTGCAAAGACGCCAACTTCGTTAATGGCATCCATGACTGTGTTTTTGAGACCTGCAATACTCAGGAAGCTGAAAACACTTTGGACCTTGCTGCGATATATTGCACGGATCGTAGGTGGTTCGTTTTGTTTTCCTCATTCTTTTTATTCCCCGATCCACGCTCTCGTCTTGAATCTTCCATCTTCCATTTTGCATCCCCCATCACCCGACCTCCATCATTATCACACCAATTAAACTAACTTTCCCTCCCCTCCAAAAATCCAGCAAAATACAAATCTCCCGACTGCCCCTGCCTGGACCCGCTCCTGCAACCTGGCGCTTCACCTGCGGCGGCTGTCGCTTCTGATCCCGGAGTCAATTCCAATTCCGATTCCGGCTCTGGTTCCTCCGCGGATAACGACGATGTCTCGAATTCCTCCGGCTCGACTAATCCGAACACGAACACGATCTCAGACGACAGCGCCACCCCCAACGGCGGCAACAACGACAACACCTTCGTCGCCACCGCCACCGCTACTAACGGTGATGGTGCTGTCTCATCTAATAGTGTGGAAACAGGAGGAGAAGGAGGAGGATTAAAGACGGTTACTGCGTACGTGGCTCCTAAAGTTACTGAATTGGCTAATACTGCTTCTACTGCTTCTGCTGGCGCTAGCAAGACGAATGAGCTGGATCATGCAGATGCTAGTACGCCCACGTCTGCTAGTTCGGGTGCGGCGGAAATGAATGGTACCGGGGCTAGGGAGATGGGGAATTTGCGGGAGAGGGTGTTGTTGGCTGTTGTGTTGGGGTTTGTTATGGTTCTTTAGGTTTTTTTTCTAAGGAGGTTGGTATAACTACCTATGTCTAGGTCATTGGACAAGGGACATGGCGCATGGGAAGAATGGAGGAAGGATTAGATGTCGTCATGCGGAAGTTGAGAGATGTAGTTTGGCACGCGGATTCATGTTTCTAGCTAGGATCTAGGATATTTTCAGAAGAAGAAAAGAAGCAGAGATAGGAACAAAGCCCGTCGCTTACGCGGGGAAACCTTGATTCCTCCTTTTACAGTGGTCTTGCACCTCTTTATCTTTTTCTAGACAATGATCAGTCGTAGTTGGACAACATTTCAAACGTGGGATTTCGCTCATTGCTTGATGATTGAACAGCACCCGGAAGCACCGTCAATGTTGCTCAGATAACTAGGCAGTTATGAAAAACCCACCCGGCACTGATCCCACAAGACCTTGCTCTCCCCTGCCTGACCAGACTATTCATCCTGCCCCTGGGCATCCTCGGCGGAAGCGTCTGTTGCGCCTCCGGTATTGCCCGTATTGCTGGCATCCCCTGTGGTGCCAGCATTGCCAGTAGCACTTCCAGCATCGCCGGCAGCATCCCCAGCGTTGCCACCTTTACCAGCTTTACCACCCTTGCCACCTTCTCCAGCACCGCCAGCGCCGCCAGCAGTTCCAGCGTCGCCAGTGGCACCTCCAGCGTTACCGGCAGCAGCACCGCCAGTAGCACCACCAGTAGCACCGGCCGCACCTCCAGCACCTCCAGCATTCCCAGCATTTCCGGCGTTGCCACCTTTACCACCTTTGCCGCCCTTGCCCTTTCCAGCATTGCCAGCGCCACCAGCAGCACCGCCAGCAGCACCGCCAGCACCGCCAGCGCCGGAGGTGTCGGTCCCATTACCAGCGCTGACGTTGCCAGTGCCAGCATTTCCAGCATTGCCGCCCTTATTCTTGCCGTGGCCTTTCCCTTTGCCCTTCCCCTTTCCCTTCCCTCCACCGGTAGCCGGGGCCGTGCCATTCACAGCATTGATGTTGCCCAAGGGAGTGGCGGCGTCTTTTGCGTTACCGTTGCCGTTGCCGCCAGGGGCAGTGGTAGTGGTGTCGGTCCCGTTGTTAGCGTTGCCGTTGCCGACATTACCGCCCTTCTTCTTGCCGTGACCTTTGCCCTTCCCCTTCCCCTTATGGCCCTTTGCTGGTGCCGTGCCATTCACAGCCAGTTGATTGCCAATGTCGATGTTGCCTTTGCCGTTGGCGTTGTTGCCAGCATTGGAAGTGTCGGTCCCGTTATTAGCGTTGCCGTTGCCGACAGCACCGCCCTTTTTCTTGCCGTGACCTTTTCCTTTCTTCTTGCCCTTGCCACCCTTCTTTCCACCGGTGGCTGGAGTCGTGCCATTTGTAGCCTGTTTGTTTCCAACCAGGTTCACGTTGCCTACGGTACGGGTGCTGTTGCCCGCAGCAGTACTGCCAAAGCCACAGCCTTGCTTGCCAGCTTGGAATTGAGCGCCCAAGCCGGAGCAAACGCCAATGACATCACCACCGCGGGCAAGGGTTGCACAGCATTGGGACCCGCAGTCGGCTTCGCTGAGGCATTGTCCGCCGATAAACTGAAGGCCTTTGCCGTTGCCGACGTTCTTCTCGCCTGCCGGATCGGGGATGTTCTGTCGTGCTTGGAGAAGCCAGGCGCCGGGGAAGGCTTGCACGGATGCGGTAGTCACTGTAGGAGGTGTTTTGTCAGCTCAAGGAGTTCTTACAAGAACGGGATCTCGTGGGAGCACTTACCAGCAAGCGTGCTGAGAATGGTAGTGAACCGAACCATTGTCGTTTGGTGGTTCGAAAAAGAAAGCACTGATGTGGACTATAGAAAAGCAGTGCTGACCAGCAGGAATGGGGAGAGCTGTTGCTCAAAGAAGTACCGGATTCTGGGGGCGGGAAACGAAAAGAAAGAGACCAGATCCTGCTGGTGTTTTTGGCTGTTGCTATCTCAAAGGCCAAGAAAATCACCAGGAGAAGAGGGCAACTAGTCTCTTATACCAGAAGTCAAATCGACTGTTGACAAGACAGCGACGTACCGAACACACGAGAAACAAGGGCATGGTGATCGGCGAGGAACGGACGGACGAACGGTTGAAGCGCATACCAAGCCGGAAACACCAGAGGAGAAGGGCAAACTCGAAAAAGGGCAGGATTCACAAGGCTGAGACTGGATGGCGCCGAGAAAGATACGAAATCCGGGGTTTCTGTGGATTCCAGGTGCGGCTCCTGCTAAAGGCCGGTGGTACCGATGTTGTCTCGTTCGTGTTGATCTACAATGCGAAACAGGGGAATACGAAGATGTTCGCGATCTCGACCTCTCCGATCTCCCCGAAAAAGCTTCCCCTGTCTGGCCATTGTTTGGGATGTGGAGGAGAGGAAGCCGGATCGGAGCATGTCCGTGCTGAATTTTCAGGTACACGCGGGTGCTGATTGGTTTCCAGAAGTACGGAGGTTGAGGGGGATAGCGTTGCAGCTAGCGCCGGTAGTTGATGGATTGTCAAGATTTCAGCCGTGATCGCCAGAGTCTAGAACATCATGCTGTGATAATTCGCAGAGCTCATGACAGACAAGAGTCACAAAGTCGAGGAAGAAGTGATGTTGTCGTCGGAAAAAAAGAAAACGGGAAGAGCAAAGAGAGACAACTTGAACCCCACTGGGCAGAAGGCTGCCCTTGCATTAGCGCCCCTTTTAGCTTAGCGCATTCAGGGGTTACCTTAATGGCGCAAGGCTGGGGGTTGAATTGACGTTCCTCTCTTTTCTGTGTTTTCGACCATTGCTCAAAGTAATCAAGTTGAAAGGGTTAAAGGGGAAAAAAGAGCAATGATTGTCTCTCCCAGTTTCAAGTGTCGTATCATTTTCAACAGTTTATTACCCCGGATACCAAGCCGACGCCAAGGAGAACGCGATCTGAGACAGATCTTGATGGGAACAGGGGTCTTTCCAGTGCCCCACACAGCCCCAGGACCTATTCCCGGTCTAGACTAGTGTAGGCCCTGAAAGCGCAGGCTCCACAATACTTCCCAACGTCGCCCTTCCCCAGGAGCTTCGTCAACCTTGGTCTACACGTCTAGGTCGTCCATCACCAGGGCATCAGACTTGGACTCTACGACACCGCCAATTTCCAAATCGCCAAATGTCATCCTTCAATTACATCTACCTGCTGGCAACTATCTGACTGATTATATGTTTATAAGAGAGAGAGAGAGAGAGAGACGGAGAAGGATAGAGACGCCCCTGATGGCCATTCAATCCTGGCAGTGAACGCTGAAACTCGGCAAACACCCTCCAGGTTCACAATCGCAAGGGAACCTCGAATAGCGCAGCCCGACACAGCCTCTTTTTATACAAGCCTACCTGGTGAGTCGGCCATCCACCACAAGGCAATGTGAGGTAGGTAGTCGACAGTTATAGGGCATCGATCGATCAATCGAACTGCACCGAATCCTTTCGCGTCTTCGCCCAAGTATCAACCATAGCCGTTGTGTTCCATCGGACAAGGACAATACCATGGGACCTACTACCTACTACCTACAGAGATTTTGACTGTAGTCATCACCCCTTCCCATACCTGGTACATACGAACAAGACACAAAGTATTCAGAACCCGTCAATTTCGTAGACAATTATATTAAAAGTCGTGCTACCTACCTCAGCACCACATCCCTAACGACCATCCTCTCCCTCCTTCTTGTGCGTTAAATTTGTCCAACCTCAATCAGGTCTAACCTTCTACAGCTGCAGCAGCAGCAGCAGCAGCAGCACCACTCAAGCCCATTTTCCGTCCCGCGAATCAGGCGTGACAGTAACCCAATCTTCTTCCTCCATCAGCGGAACTTCAAAGAACCAATCTTCATCGTCGTCATCATCATCATCCTCCTCCTCTTCCTTTTCTACCAGGTCTTCCAAAACCCAATCGTCATCAGCTGCTGCTGCTGCTGCCAAGTCATCTTTGCAATGAGGTTCGTTTTTGCTGTCTGCCTTCTTGGGTTTCTGCAACAGCATGCTCTTCTGTTTTTGCTCCTGTGTATAAAAGAAAATGGTTAGATCATGTGATGTATTTCTGCCGGATGGGAAAACCTGTATGGACTTACCTTCATGGGCAAGAGGGGAAGGGAAGGAGTGGCGGTCTTGACTTGTTCAAGTGTTCTCCGGCCGACGTCGCGCTTACCCTGGGGGACAGCGGCTTTGGACTTGGGCTCCGGCGGCATGGCTTGTGCTGTTTTCGTACTCTCTGTTCTTGTCACGTTGTTGGGTACTTGGGTTTCGAGTCTCGCCGATTGTTGATGATCGAAAGGCTCAGGACAGCAGTGTGAGACTGCAGGATAAGAGTTGGATCTTGGGTGCGGGAACCATGTTGGGGGTTTGAACCGACAGTCCCCTTGGGTAGGTAACTTGGCAGTGCCAATGCTTCAAGTCTGCAGACCATCTCAAGATAATGCGGGCGTGGTGCATGTTTACGCAATATGACATTTCCTGATGGGTGGTCTCTAACATGGCCGGTTAGCAGGCGAGGCTCACCATTGTTCTTCCAGGACGTGATAGTCATTGAGGTATGATGGTCAGAGTTTCCTCCTTCTGTGCAAGACATTAACAGGTATCTACTGACTGACCTATGCTAAACTAGACGGTAATCCTACCAGAATGTCGGAATCCAGTGAAGTGGACTGCAAGGTCCTTAATTGGAACAAGATCTTAGCATTGAATTTCACCTGTCACCACACCTTCCACAATACTTAAAAGTCGAGCACAAAATGAGCTTGAATGCATGTGTCTACAACGAAATGATGCCCCTGCCGATGCCAGAAACTGCGGCCCGCACGGTGTTAGAAAGAAGCAAAGGTAAGGCGCAATTCTACCCCGTCGTTCCAATCTCATTGCCATCTGTACCGAACCGTTACAAGCACAAGAGTACATCTCTGGGATGGAACAATGGTAGTAGTAGCCAAAGGGTACTAAGTGATTGTAGAAGCTATTCCTTGCTGAAGACCCGGTATTTCAGGAAGCTTGCGGAGGCTTCTTTATACGCCGGCCTTCCTGGACCCGACGTATCGGACCGAAGCGGGATTGAGGTCGACAGTCTTTCCACCGAGATCACCTCTACCTCTACGCGAGGACAAGTCGAAACCAAACTCGTCCACATCCTGCTGCCGTGCTGGCACCTTCAGCGGATCGGCGAACCTGGGGTCCCAACTACCTGTCGTTGGCTCAATAACGTTGTTGGTCTGGGCCAGGTAAGAGTGATGAGGCAGAAAAGGATCCTCTTGCATCGTCGCCCATTGAGAAAGGCTATCTACTGATGCGCGCCTGATACTCTTGCGGATTGTATTCTGAGGTTGATGGCATTTTGACACATGATCTCTTAAAGCACGAGCCGAAACAAATGGCGGGTATTGACAACCCACAACGGTACAGTTAATACGCTGTGTGTGCCTGGTCTCGTGTTCAGACTTCGCCTTCTCGTCGGGGAATCCCAGGGCAGCCCTTGGGCAATTTGGGAAGCGACATGTGAAAGCCGATGTGCGGAACTCCTTTTTGAAACGATCGAGATCTTCTGGAGATATCCCAGAGATGCTGGTGAGAGCCAAGATATTCTTGATACTGGATTGTATAGCGAGAAGCAAGCTTTGAAGATCATTTGGTGGGCAGCGCACTGGGGCTGTGGGTGTACCTGCTCTTTGTTAGTATGCGTACCGAAAGATTATTCGGTGGTAACTGAGTGACACAATTACACGAACCTTCAATTTCGGTCACCAGCAATTTAGCACGGGCGACTCGTTCCTCAAGTTCTCTTCGGGCCATCTCATATATGGCGCCGTGTTCCTTGAGGCACTGAAGACGGCTATCCCTGCTAGCCGTGCTTTCAGCAATCCCAGAGGTTGGGATTGTCAGCGTACTAGGCTGATTGTGTAAGAAGTTTGCGAGCTCCTGTGCGACCCCGTGTAAAAGTGAGTCGTGGACGAGCCCGTGGCCTGTAGATACAGCATCCAGGAAACAATTCAGCCAGAACTGGTTGGAATAGATATGCAGGCCGTGGAGCCCCTTCACTATGCGAAGAATACGGGTATTGTCTGCCAGCTGTCCTGAAAATATCCAGAAGCCAGACAAAAGGCACGTAATGGTGGCAGTTGCGTGCTCATGCATCGCGGCCGATCGGTCCAGGAAAAGGATGCAGCCGGGGGTCTGAAGGTACCTATCTCTACATGTTAATACATCTGGTGATGATCTGTATTCTGTGCTATCCTGATAAGAGTTCTGTCTTGCCAGAACGAGGGACACATACTCCTTGAGTGAAATGTGCACAAATGAAAAGGTGGCATCAGGGTGCTCCTCTAACAACGGTGCCCCAAATTCGAATATGTGCCGGGGTACGGCTTCTTCCACCATGTGATCCCCCCAGCTAAAAGCCAAGGCAGATCTCATCTCAGCTTTGGTCAATGGTCGTTTGGCGAATGCTACCCATCCGAGGATGGACCTTAACCTTTCAACCGACCTTGGGTCGAAGCGTGAGGTAAGCTGAGCAAGAATACGATCGTAGCTATATTGAGCCGAAGGTCAGCATATGTTGTGGTTATCTTGTGTGGGTAGATGGGTATCGACATGCAATTCACCCAGCTCGACAGGCAACACATCCACTGCTCCCCGCACCTCATCCCGAGAGCTCAATATATTCGTTGACAAATAGTCAAGGACCAGACGTGCCCACAGAAACATACCTGAGAATCACTCCATATTAGTATCACTTTACACGATTTCTTTGTACATATAGACTGAGGAGAGGCTCCATCTTAACTCAAGGGCGTTGAACTTCAGAATCCTGTATTCCTGGAGCGTCTTACATACCATCTGCCTTTCGAGCAATATTGATACTGATATCTCGTAGATCCGAATCTGTTAGACTCATCTGAAAGAGACGATAGCGGATCGCCCTGAGCCTTTGGTTAGCATATGTTCGTATTGCAGGCTCAATGCTTCCCTTCTCGTTCGTCATGGACACAACTTGAACAGTCCGTTTTCGTAGTCGTTTTTCCAGCTGCGGTGTGCGTCTGCTGCACAGTAGGATCTTGAACACAGATGAGGCTGAAGATCGAAGACCGCGAAGCTTCTCGAGCAAACTTGCAATTCGCCCCTGTTGATCCGGTTCGCATTCGTCCAAGCCATCAATGACCAGGTGAATTGATCTGGATTCTGAGGGTATGGGGGAGACAGCACCACCAAATGCCAATAATAACTGCTCCAAGGATTGGCTAGTAGGTAGTTTTTTTCCCGATAACAAACTCAGCATACGCGTGAGCGATAAGATCGGAACTGGTTCGCATGAGCTGAACCAGTAATGACCTGAGTATGGTCTCATATTGAATGGAAGACAAGTGGGTGTAGGTGCAAAAATGCTGAATAACCATGGCCTTCTCACTTCTCTGGAGGAATTTGACGAGCTGTGTTGCTATAACACTTTTTCCGGTTCCAGGAATCCCATGCAACCAGACGAAATCTGTTGTGGGCGTCTCTTTGAGCCATTCACGTATATGGATGTGTCTAGAGACCCAGTCACAAGTTCCATCGTACTTGTTTCCTTCGGAGGAAATAGCATCGAGGATAGCGAGTTGCTCGGTCTCATCGATCTTCAGACATCCGATTATTGATTGATACTGCTTGGCAGTTTGCTCGTCCTCTAGGAACTTTAGCTTGTCAAGATTTTCCTGACGCCATGCTTGCAGATTCTCACTCATCTTGACAGTCTCGCTCAGGTTTATCGCGCTCGCAGTATCGTCGATGAGTTTCTTATGTTTCTGCAAGTCATCGAGTGTGGAATCAAATCGGCGTTGGAATCGGCCCCATGACGTGAGGAACAATATTCGCCAACCTGTTGAGCTATCAGAACTTGAGCCGAATGCGAGAAATCTAATTGCTGCTGTTGTCTCACCGCTTCGTCGAACAAAGATGTGCGCTTCCTTGTGGAATGTCAAAATGTCGGCGTAGAAGACTGCCAGAACTTGCTGCATTTCTTTGCTGTTTCTGAGTGCATCTGATATGATACGAAACCTAGGCAGTGATTCGGCAATTTCTGAGTAGGCTTTGATGATTCTCTCGAACGCATCTGTATAATCTGAGGAAACCTAGCACCAGTTAGTATCCTGCGGAGCTTTGGTATGGTGGTCTTCACAATGCTCGCCTTGAGAATAAGCTTAATGGGAGCCCAAATCCATGGTAGGTAGGGAGTTCCATTGCATAGGACTTCTATGGTTTCAGCGTAGCATTTCAGTCCCTCAAACAGAGGCGACAGACGCCGCATATTCCTCAGAGACTGTCTTGCAGCAAGGATACTTTCAATTCCAAGTGCGGCATCTTGAACGTTCTGTAGTGTAGTGTTGTTGAAGTCCTTCGCTTCGCTCGGGGATATGACCTTTTCGAGGCCTTCAAAGGCTTCGCGAATGATACGTCTAGCTTCAAGAGAGCTTCGCGCCGCCAGTGGCATGATTGCTGTGGTTCTAGTGCCTGTTATTGCCGACCTGTTGGAGAACCTGGGGGGAGTACGGAGTAGAATACACAAGTGAACGAGAGGATATCTTACCCAAATGTTTTTCAGTCGAGAACTGAAGAGTCGGCAGCATCCACGAGGCTGAGACGGTGAGCCATACCAGCTCCACAAGCTTCGCGGAGCATGATTCAAGCTAACAGCTGTTGAGCTTCGTCGTTGAAGCACCCTCGACGGCGCCAGTTGGGCTGACTTTTGAGATGTCGATTTGTAACTGGCCTGAAGAGCTCTGATGTGTACCTCTATGCATTGTGTAGTGGGGCTCGGGCTGTGCACATCCATGCAGCCGTACTAGCCCGGGTATAAGCCCCGGAGGAGACCTGATGAGCCAGCTTCGTCAACCCATGGCTTGTCACTGATGAAAATGGATTCCATAGCTGATAGAGAATACTTGAGCGGAAGATGGAAATGATGAGGGTTTCATTGTTTGGCCAAAAAGAGGAGTGTCAGGTGGAAATGAGACGATGAGCAGAAAACTCGGCGAGGCAAGTGCACCTGCTGGCTGTGCTTGCTTCAAGAGCGGCGGGGAAGGGGGGCTCTGTAGTGTATAGGTCTGGTTGGGCACGAGCCCCGCAACAACAATATGCAGCCAACGGGTCTAGAGCTGCCACACAAAACGACCCAGACAGGAGATAATGAGTGGTGTAGCTTAGAGGTACAGTAATTGAGGTACTCTCACCTTAATCCACGATAAACCCGCCCCCAGATGATGAGACACTTTCTACAATACATGCGACCTCAGTCACACCGCCTTCGCCTTGCGCCATCAATGATCACCTGTTTCCTTGTTGTCATTGGCCGCCTTGAATTTTTCGTTTTCGTCAAACTTTCCGATTTTTCCACGACTTTTCCTTCCGCTGACGTGCAGTTGTTTACCTCTAGGTACTCGTGCTCCGCCCCCACTTTTTTTGGGACTTATCTGACGCGCACCCACTAAGTGGGAGCACGAGTATACCTAGAGGTACTTTAAAGAGTCCCAGTACTCTACAGAGTTCTGTGTTGTTCAGCATGAATTGTCGCCAATATTCCATAGGTACCTACACTCCAACAACCCGTCGACGTCCTACCTGATAATGCTACCATCAGGCCGAAGCAACCCGAAGCGCAGGCGACTGGAAAGCAATGAATCTGGGGAGAGTGCCAGCGTTGGATATGCTTATCACTACAGCGAGGGTTGGCCACATTATCCAAGGCCAACTGCCCCTGTGACAGTTCCTGCACCGAAAGACCTCGAAAACTCGTTTTCCAGCCCGTCGACTGCTCTGAATCCCCCCTCTGTGGTAGAGTCATGGCTACATTCGCAGTCCACGGCAACGGCCACATTTACAACTACTTGCCTCCCAGTCTCAGCGGCTTTACCAACCTCACACCCGTTATCCACATCGTCATTTTTGTCCAAGGTCCTTTGTGAAGGCTCTACTAACGAATATCCTCAAGGCTCCAAGGCTTGGCACCATGACCCGATCAAGCCAGTCCATGGCCCACAAGAGGTGGTTTGTTTTGGCGAGGTCGGTCTCTCCGCAAACCAATCCACCGTTGACTCCGATACTGACAACAACTTAAAGCTTTCTGGCATACCCGCCAGACTTGACCATAATTCACCTTGGAGCAATGCCACGCCATCCTCGTACCTTCGAGTCAGTCTCGATTCATCATTCCTATTTTCTGGCAAGGCCGGTGCCCAGGATTTTTCCGGCACAATTGTTCAAGGCACTAACAAGAACGACACCCACGACTGGACAGTGTTGACGGATGCTTTGCTCGAGGAATCCGACATTGAGCTTAGTGTGATCTGTTCTAAAGACCCATATCACCCCTCTTCAGATGTGCAACACAAGGCTTTTAGGCAATTCGAGAAAGCACTCGACTGCACGCTGTCCATTACCATTTATGGTTCTCTTGAGTTATTTGAGGAGATTGGGAGCTTCTTTCAAGAGCACGACGTCTATTTGCAGGATCCACTGCACTGTGATAGACATGTCCGCTACTGCAATCCCCATCGCCTCTCGTCAGCAGACCTGGAAAAATGCATTTGGACATCGGATCTGGGAAAACCAACGACGCAACTAGTTGAGCTCACTAGTACTGTACCAGCCCCGGAGCTTTTGGACGCCATAACATCTGCCCAAGACCTTCCGGAAGCAGACCAACCTCGAGCAATTCGAACATCTTTGGCAAGGTAAAGTCAACATCTCGTTAGGGTTTTGTGACTAAACCCTCTGACACCCATTGGTTGCAGGCATCAGAAACAAGCTTTAACATTTATGCAAAGAAGAGAAGAGGGATGGGCATTCAACGGCAAGCATCCAGATGTCTGGGAGTATGTGGAGCATCGAGTAGGAGATGGGTGAGTACCTATTACATCTTTGCTGAACAGAAAATCAGTATCTGAACCGAGTGCATTTATAGAAGCTTCGTGAATCGAATATCCGATTCGCATCAAAAAGAACAGCCAGAGAACTTCCAGGGCGGTATTATTGCTGATCCGATGGGTCTGGGAAAAACGCTAACAATGATTGCTCTGGCGGCGAGTGATCTGATGTGGGCATCAATGGCTCCCCGAGGAAACAAAGAATTCGCGTCTGTCGGCCAGACACTGGTCGTTGTTCCACCACCACGTATGTTTACCGAAAGAGGAGCAGCTGTGAATGGAGTGCTAATCAACCACCCAATAGTGTTAGGTACATGGGAAGAGCAGTTGGCAGAGTGAGTTTACTCCCTATCATGACGACATCAGACAATCCCAGCTCACTCAGACACACCCAATAGGCACGTTGAACCCGGAGCTTTCTCATGGTGCCGACATCACGGAAACGACAGGCTTATCACAACGAACGACGCTCATCAACCCACCATTGTTCTTACAACATATCATACCGTTTCAGCCGAGTGGAAGAATGCGGGTGAATATGCTCGTTCTGGCATCTTCTTCAGGCGTTGGCGAAGAATCATCTTGGACGAAGGTATGTTTAGTGAGCCATGTTGTTTGTGGAAGGTCAGCTTGAGCAAAAATTCACTGACTAAGATAATATGCCTCAAGCTCATATCATCCGAAACCACAATTCTCAAATGGCACATGCCATTTGTTCACTCGATGGGGATTCTCGTTGGGCCGTCACGGGAACGCCCATCCAGAACAAGCTCTCTGATCTAGCGACTTTGCTAAAGTTTTTGAGGATTTATCCATACAGTGACAAGAGGTGCTTCGACGCTGATTTCACGAATCTTTGGAAGAACGGGCAAGCCAATGAGGCACTGAAGCGCCTGAAGCGCTTAGCGGGTTGCTTAATTTTGAGGCGACCTAGCACCACCATCCAGCTCCCGGAAAGGCGCGATCTTCAGTGCCCGGTGAAATTTTGTCCGGCTGAGCGAGAGCTGTATCAAGACATCCGCACCAGAACCATTGAGCGCCTCGATGAGTTCTTGTACGCAGACATTGCTGACGCCGTATGACCACCCTCGTATGTCAATGTTCTCCAGCAGATTGAGGAGATGCGAATGGTCTGCAATCTTGGATTATGCTACCGCTCACGCCACGACTTCGTGGCCCAGGATCCATCTGCCGATACCGCCTGGAACAGTGAGATGGCCCAGCGAGCACTCAATCTTCAACTGGAAATGGACCCAGTGCGTTGTGGGGATTGCAGAGCATCACTCGATGCGGCCGTCGGTCTTCTAGGCGATACTCCAGAGGCACAGGGATTGCAACAGGCGCTCTTGTCGCAATGTATGAAGTTTGTGTGTCCGGAATGTGTTTTCAGACGTGGAGGCGCACCGCCCATTTGCCATCACACTCCAGTATGCCCGTTCGCCCCAGTATCCATCAGTGCCATCGCTGCCAAGGAAGCGCCGGAGCCTGCCGCTATCGAATTCGAAGGAAGGGACTTAATGTCACCGCATGAGATGCCCTCAAAGATCAAGTCGCTGATTTTGCAGCTCAAAAACCTCCCCTATAACACCAAAAGGTATACCAGTAAGCCGCTGATTCTTATAAAGATGAGACTAACCGCACTATCAGCGTCGTGTTCTCAACCTGGAGGACCACTCTCGATGTTATCGAAGCCGGACTCAAGACGGAAGCTATACCATGTCTCCGCTTTGACGGCAAAGTTCCTCAAAAAGAGCGACAAAATGTCATCAACAGGTTCCGACATGATCCATCCTGTAGAGTCCTGCTGCTGACACTTTCTTGCGGAGCCGTTGGGTAAGATCACAGCACCGGTCACGCTCTCTCGATGAGCTGGTCTTATTGCTGACCTGCCAACCATCAACCAGACTTACACTAACTGTCGCCTCGTACGCCTTCCTCATGGAACCACACTGGTAAGTACCCAATCCCTAATTGACCCTTACCAATTAGACAGGTACGAAAGACCCCGGGCTGACCGTGAAATATCAGGAATCCAACTCTTGAAGATCAAGCCTTGGCGCGAATTCACAGAATGGGTCAGACACGGGAAGTCACCACCGTTCGGTTTTACATCAGGGACTCGTTCGAGGAGGTGAGTTAATTTCATAAACACACATCATTCAAAATACATGTTACAGCTATCAAACTGACAAAATCAACACCAAATATAAAGAGGGTAATGGAAGTGCAAGAAAAGAAAAGGAAACTGGCCACGGTACTGCTAGCACCTCATGGCCAAGGCGAGGAGGAGGAGGATGTGGGATCTCTTCAGGTGAGTTTCGTATAGAACGCCGTCCCCTGTAATTTGCATATGACTGGTGTGCTAACGGGAGGTTTAGCACCTGAGATCTTTGCTTTGATCATCTCGGTTGAAGAAAGAAGACAGAAAACAATGGAGAGGGGGCAATTAAGGCATCGACAAGTAAGGTAGAAAAAGAAAGAACTTACGGAGTCCAAAAATGACATGAAAGAGGCCGATGTTCCGTGATGTCGCTCCGCGATTACAGCGCAAACAGGCCTGGTCGTTAGCGGCGCTTAGGCGGCTAGCAACCACTATCAGCCTATCTCTCTCCCTCACACTTACGCGCCTTTTGCGATAACATGTTAGCAATTCATCTCCTACCCACTTCATTAGTAGTGAAATGAATTAAATCTCGACGTTCTCTTTCCCATTCAAATGAACATTTCGTTGACGTACTTCCATCATCCATCACATAATAATCGAGTGTCCAGCGACCCAAACATCTCGAAAACAAGAAGCTACAACTTACCTAGGTTCACCGAACATAAGTGGAGACCCTCCACTGTAAAATCCCCCCACCCGCATTGAGTGTCCGGGCGCTACGGGCCTTCAGGTTATCTCAGCGATCAGACCTCCCTTCTTTTCTGGGCATATAGTGTAAATGAACTGGGCAGGCGCCGCTAAGGGGGCCTGCGGCCCGTGCGCTGCGCGCACATTTGATTTTCGATTGAATCTTTCCAATCTTTCCAGTTGTGGTCCGTGTATTGGTTTCTTTTAGTGTATTTGACTGTATTGATTGAGATTGCCCAAAAAAGAGGTCTGAGTCCTCGATACAGAAAAGAGGTCTCCTCCAAACGCATCCCTATACAAATCGATGCTAGCTATTTTCTTTACTATATAATATTAACACTATAATAAAATATAATAATAAAACTAAATTTACTTAGAAGTATAGAATTTGTAGGAGATTATTATAGTATAGTTTTTTTTATATTAATAATAATAGTCTTATTCCCTATACTATATAACTATAGTACCTTATTAGTATAGGGTCCTTCTCCAGTTCTCTAGAGGGGAAAACCGTACGGCGTTAAACGCCGCCAGATGAAAACCCCCAGCTTTATTTTGGCTATAAATTTCTATACCGCTCCTACTTTACTTATAGTTATAATAGTTCTTACCTACTATTATAGCGAATTAATTTCGTTTCTCCCTTCATTATATTATCCCAATATTAGAATAATAAAAATAATAGGAATAGGACCTAAAGCGCCGCCTCTCTTCGCTATTTTTCTATTTTAACCCTTACTATTCCTTCTTCCGCTTTCTTCCTACTTCCCTATCCTATCTTCCTATTTACTTCCCTACTTTTCCGTTTTTTTATTCTATTTATAGTTACTTCCGCCCTATCCTTTTACTTCCTACCCTTCGGTTCTACTTTTATTTATAATAGTATAAGGACCCTTTCTTCTATTTATATAATCCTCCCTATAGTACCCCTTCCTAATTTCCTTCTTCCTTCTTCCCTATTATATTATTATTTAAAATAGTTTCCTCTAGTCGTTACCGCCCTAACCTAATCGATTTAACTTCCAATTTAAAAGTTTCTTCCCTTAATTTATCCTTAAGCTTTACGTCCTCTTAGGGTTTTATAGCTCTAATTTATTTAGAGCCTATAATATTTTTTTATTTTCTTTATAATAATCCGGACTTTATAGCCCCTTAGAATTAATATAACTATTTTTTTTATTATTCTTAATTTATATACTAATCCGTTTAGTATTATTTATAAAATCCTTTACTTTTATTATACTTTAAATTTTATTATATTTCTGAAAATTAGTTAGAGGCCCGCTTCCTCCAACGATTTTCGTAAGATAGTCGCAAATAAGATTTACTTTATTTCGGTTATTAATAAGCTTTTTATCCTTTTTTTTCTTATTTTTTAATATTAATTAACTTCTGTCTTTAATTATCTACTTTTAGAATACAATTTATATTTTTACTACTAATAAATATATATTAAACGTTTCTACTAATTTTTATAATATTTATAATACTATTTAATTAATAATTATTATTATAATATTAAGTAGCTTGGCTAAATATAATTAGAGATTGGACTCTTTTATTTGTATTACTAATTATTTTATTAAATATATATACGAGCGTTTAATATAGGATAATTTATTTAATTATTTTAATAATCTTCCTTACGCCCTATATTATAATATTACTAATTTCTAGTAGAAGGACTACTATAAATTAATTATAAAGGATATTCGCTATAGTTATACCCCCTCCCTTTCTAATAATAATACTATAAATCTAATTTAAATTATTTTTAATTTTAGCGGTAATATAATTACTCCTATGCGTATTATATTTAATAGTAGTAATATTACTACTCTTATTTATATAATTTCCGGTTCTAATAATAGTAGTATTACCCCTAATAATCCTATAACCCTTGATACTTCTAATTATCCTATTATAAACGAGGATTAAATTTAATAATATTATAAGATTATTATAAATTAGGCCTGTATAATAGTACTATTCGAATAGCTTTTTAAATATAATTAAATATTCGTTAAATAGTATTTCAATTCTTACTATAATTATAGTTTAAATAATATTTATAATTAATATAATTATTTCTTCCTTATTCCTTATCCTATTATTCTAATATTATTAGTAATTCGTTCCCTCTTTAAAAATACTTTGTAATTTCTTTATACTACTCCTCTTTTAATTTAATTATTAAATAGTACTCCCTTAATTTACCTAATTTTAACGCCTATAATAAGATTTTTTCGGCTTTAATTCTATCGTTTAAATATTCTTAGAATTCCTCCCTTATTAATAACTAATTGTTAGGGTCCAATTAAAAGAGAATTTTTATATTAAAGTAATTTAAGACGATATAGGCGAAGGTCTCCTTCTTAAGCCTATAAATATAAATAGGTATTTAGATATTTAATACTTTCCTCCGAAATAGGAAAGTATAGAGTCTAATAACCTTTATCCTAATTTAAATTGGGAGGGAATTCTTTATTTTAATTAATAAATATAATTCGTCCTTATTTTCCTCTAGCGTTCGATATTTTTTTCTTTCTTTCCTTATACTAATTATATATTATTAAATAACTTTATTATTAAATTTAGGGTTAAAGTTAATAATAGTAAATTTATACCGTCGATTTAATTTAATTATTACTATTATTAAATAGTAATTATAGTATAATATTTATTCTTAATTCGTTATATCCTTTAACTATTCCTTTTAGTTAGTAATTATTAATTTTAGAATTAATAATAATAGTAATAGGGTCCTTAATTCCGAAGGGGGACTGGCTATAATCGTTAATAATTTTTTTATTAATATTTATACTTCAGCCTACTAAATTTTAATTATACTACTCTCTAATTTGTTAGTAGGTAACCAACCTTTAACCCTTTGTATTTAAATATAATTAATAACCTAAATTATAATCCCCCGAATGAAGCTTATTTAATTTATTTAGGTAAACCTCTCCTTAAAAATTCGGACCCTTTTATTAAAGTAGAGGTTGAATAGCGGATAAAAAATTTCCGTCTTTAGGTTTTATATTAATATAGTTTTATATACCCTAGTAATAATTTTTAAATATTTAATCTAGTATTTTACTAATCTAATTATAATCCTTCGTAGTTTCTTATAAATTTTAATTAGTTAATAGAATATTAAAACTCCGTATATAATAGTACTACGAATATATTTAGTATATATATCCCTTACCCGAACGAAGGAATAACCCTATATTTTCGCGGGTAATTTTATAAATATATTTATTTAAATTTTTATTTTTTATTTTATTATTTTCGTATAAACCTAATAATTAAATTTATAATTTAATTAAACCCTTAGGAATTTTATAAATTCTGTTAATTAAAATATTATATTCCTAAATTAAAGAATTTCCATCCTTAGTACTTTTATCCGTATAAAATATATTAATTCCGTCTTATTTACTTCGAATTCTATACTTTTCGCCCCTACTTATTTTAAATATATTTTCTTTACTACTTATAAAGTCCGGTAATTCTCTTTAGTAATACGTACTATTATAATAATATTAGTATCGTTTGCGAAGCTAATAGTAATTATATTTAGGATTATTATTAGTTTTTAATATAATAGAGTAATAAAGAGAATAAATAGGATAAGGGAGAGGGGGGAGCTTTAGGGTATATTTATAGTAATAATATAAGAGTAAAATATTTTATTATTAAAAAAGAGGGAACTTCTTCGGCCGGCGACGAAATTTACTATTTATTTAATAATCTATATTAGGAATTATATTTCTTATAAAGTATATAAAAGCTACTTATAATTAATTCTATTAAATACTCTTCTAAATTGAAGAATATAAGGAACGTTATAGTCTTAAATTTCTAAATTATATATATTATATTAATAACTACCTAAATTATAAATTCTATTAAACGGCTTATTTAATTACTTATTTAACCTTCTAGTAGGAAGTTAAATTCTTCGGTTGCTTATATAAACCTTTTAACTATAAATATTTCGAAGATTTTCCCTACGTTATTAAATAGTAATATAGGCTTTTATACGTTCGCTAGTTTTTATTAAGTAGCGTTCTTCCCGGGCTTCTTAAAGATAATTATTTTTATATCCTTAAACTATTATAGGAAATACCCAAACCGGAAACTAGCGGATATTAAATATACTATAGCCTACCGAAATAATTACTTATATAATTTTAAAAATCTATTTAAATATTAATTAACGCCCGGGGCCTTATTAAATATTATCCGGGAAAATATATTTTAAATATCCTTTTTAATAATTGATTTGCTAATAACTATTAGGTTAATATTATTTAATAATTCAATTTAATTTAGTAAATAATTTATTAGGATATTTACCTTTAGGAAAAAACGGTTAGTAAAGATTTCGGCCTTACTATAATAATTTTTAATTTTTATTGCCCCTTTATAAGTTTAAAGGGCTAGTAATTTAAGTAGATTTATTAATTAGTAACTTTAAATTTAAATCTATCGTTCTAATAACTAAAATTAATTTGGGTTCTTTAAAATTTCTATAATACCCTTATACTATATAGTTTACTATATTTTCGAAATTATCCTCTTCTTTTTTATTATTGCTTTAATAAAATCCCTTTAATTTAATACTATTTAGTATCCAAATTATATTTAATATATCCTCTATACTTCTTTTATAACTATTTTATAATTTAATATTTATTAATTCGCTTTCTTCCCCCGACCTTTCTTCCAATATAGAACGAATTCTTCTATAATACTTATAAATTCTCTATTAAATTTGCAAAAGGCTAATTCGAAATTTTCTATTATATTAATCTTGTCTAGGACCGAAATTCGTTTTTCCGCCGCCTTCTTTACTTTTACTATATTTATAAAATTCTAGTTATATTCTCCTTCCTTTTCTATTTTCTTACTCTTTCTTCTTATTTAGATTTAAATTTCCTAAAGATAATAATTTAAATTAATTTACTTATACTATTATACTCCATAATATTTAGTTTTAATTTTAAATAATAATTATATATAATCGATTATTCTATTTCTTTTACTTTATATTATATTCTTAAATTTTATTAATTCTCTATAGGGGGTAGATAAATTAAATTTCTAACGTTGTACCTACGTAAGGAGGCGGGTAGCCCTTAAACTAATCCTATTCTCTAAATCCTAATTAGAATAATAGAGGTTAAAATCTCTAATTATAATTTAATTTCCCGCCGAAGGTCTAATTTCGAAGAACTTAAAGAGTAGTAACTCTTATTAATATTTTAATATCCCTTATATTAAAATAGGAGAATAAATAGAATAAATAGTTATTAAATCCTTTAAATTTTTAAATATTACTATAATTTAATCTTTACTAATTTAAAAATTAAAATCCTTCAAATTCTATTTCTTATTTATATATATTATTACCTTCTCTTTCTCTAAATAATCGATTCTAAAATACCTCCCGCCCCTAGGATAGTAAATATCCCTATTCAAATTCCTACCCAATTCCTAAATTGCTATAATATTATAAATCTCCTTTTATTCGAATAGAAATTTCCTTTTTTTATACAATTTCCCTACGTTCTAATAGAATATTTTTAATTAAACTATTAATTACCCTAAAATAGGGTTCCTTCTAATTTTACAATAGAAGATAAAGGTATTACTTCCTTAGAGGAGGCTATAACCATATAAATACTATTACCGCTATATAATTAATTCCTACCTACGCTCTACGAATATAGGTAGTATATATTTATTAAATTCTATAGGGTTAAGGTTTTTAATTGGGAGGTTTAGCTAATAACCTTTTTTAATTATCCTCTTTTTATACTTCCTCTAATTTATTTTTCTAAAATAGTAATAGTATAGAAATTAAGAAGAGCGTTTAATAGAATACCTTTATCTATAATTTCTATTATTAATTTTAATACTTTTCTAATTAAATTCTTATAGGGGGCGAATATCCGTAGCCTTTTAGTATATATAATAATTATTTTCGTAATAGCCTTTCGGAAAATAGGATACTCCTTACAATTATATATAAAATAACCCTTCTTCTTATATAGTTTATAATAAACGAATAACTTATTTTTATTAGAAAGATAATTTACTTCGCCGAAATAATCTCCTTTATATTTAATTTCGCTATAACAAATGTAAATATCTTCCTAGCGATAGAATTTCGCTATATATCTAATTCCCTAATATTTATAGTATTATTAAATATTATTCAAAATTTAGAATAGTTTGTATAAATATATACTACTATCCTAAAGGAAAAGGTTATCCTAAAGGAAATATACTACTAACGAAATAGTAATTTCTATTAAGAGTAAACTTCTATTCTCTTTATTTTTTTTCTTCTATAACCGAACTTTAATAATAGCTACTTCCTTATTTCTTTCCCTTACTATATTTAATAAAATTTCTAATATAGTATAATTATTAATACTATTTTAAAATATACTCTAAACTAAAATACTTATAGTATTTATAAAAATAATTATATCCGAACCGAAGATTTCTTTAACCTATATTTAATTTTACTAATACTAATCGTATATAGACTTATCGAATATAATTATATAGTCTCCTATTATTAATATTCTAATAGTTATACGGATTATTAAACTAAGTTTCCTCTTACTTAAATTTACTATTAAAACTATCTTTATATTTTTATTCGAATAATTTATAAATTTAATAATAATTATTACTCCCTTAATTATAAACTACCGTTCGAAGTTAAAGAGGACAAACTTCTTAATAGTAGTAGTAAGTAATTATTAAAGGGTAGTACCGATTTTACTCGGGATAATTTTCGCTATAATATTGGCCTATTACTTTAGCGTCTCCTAAATACCTTTCTTAATCTCCTTTAAAATATCCTTCTTTAGGTTATCGAAATCCTTTTTAATAATAAATTAATTAGTTCCAACCTTATTAACCTCGGGTCGCGTAAATCTACTTTTTCTAATACGTACCTTCGCGAATTTAAAAAATAATTTTCGAATTTAACGTTAGTCTTCAGTCGAAATAATATTATAATTTACAAATTTATTCGTTCTAATAATAAATTTCTTTAATATTTTATTATCTTCTTCTATTTTATCCGAAATTTTTATAATAAATATAGTTTCGGGGTTATTATATATTAAAATTTCTACAAGCGGGTTATAAATATTATTTTCGAATTTACGAGTACTACTATCGATAGCTATCGGTAATAATAATATAACACCGTCGCTACGTTCGTTGTAGGATATTATAAGGGATATAAATAACTCTCCTAAATTGATTACCGTTGTCAATTTTCATTTTAGAGCACTCCTCGACTAGAAATCAGCGTTTCTGGTTTCGGCGTCGTTTTTTATAGTTTTTTTTATATTAATATATATAAAAGTGTAAATATTGAACGCTTGGGTAGAAAAATTACATCTAAACGCATCTTATATTAATACCCACCCTCTACATATTAATACTACCTTTCGTCCTAATAACGTAAAACTTTATATATATTATCTATAAGGATATTTTATTCTTAGTATATTATTTTTTCCCAGCTAAGTCGTATTAGAAATATTTTTCAAATTAATAACTACTAAAACGCTATAGATTCTAACAACGATAATAGTATTGACCCCCAGCGTGTGTTGTGCATAATATATAATATTATTGGTAGTAATAAACTTCGTAAAGGATAGGTTAAGGTAGTAGTCCGGCTTATTTATAAATAAAAAGATACGATATTAGTAGCGGTAACCAGTTATAGTAAAAATATTATTCTATATACTTTCTCAGCGCTCCTCAATAAAATTACTATTCAGATTGTTTCTTTAACGAAACTTAGGGAAGTTTAGCGAGATGATATTGCGAAGAAAGTATAGGGTTTAAAGCCTATATAAATTGATATTAATATATCGAAAAAGGTATACCTTTTTCTAAAAAAAGATAGGATTCTAGAGTACTTATATTAACCGCAAGGCAGAATAAAAATATATAGAAAGAAATGGAAGAAGGTAAATATACTTATATTCTTATAAGTCTAGAATAGGCGTTCAATCCCCGATTCAAAACCGTCCTTCGCTCCTCAGATTTTTACAAAAAAATCAGCCTTTTTACTATCGACGAACTATATTATATAAGACTTCTAATACCTTTATACTCTACGACTTTTATTACTATATAATATTCCTTAGTTCGGGTATACTACTATACTAGCTGGCGTACATTAAGATTTTATTATCAAAAAGGCTGGATTTAACAATAGTTTAAAAATTATCCGAACTTTTATCGACCGACTAGAAATGTTTATTGTAATATAGCTTCTACTACGTAATTATATTAGTAATTTCCGTCGTCTTCTATTCTTGGTCGATAGCGCTACCCCTAAAATTCGGCAAGAAATTCTAAGAATAATAATCTATATCGATAATAAGAATATTTTACATACTACCCGCTACACTATTATTAACCATCTTTATAAGTAATGTAATTTTAATAAAGAAATAAGCCCTAAAATTATTTAGCTTTATAATAATTTAGTCCGGACTATTAATAAAAATATTATTTTTAAAGATTTTATAGAAGATATAGACTATAGAATCATTTGCGCCACGGTCGCTTTAGGGATAGGGATGGATATACCTAACGTTAATAGAGTAGTCCAATTTAGACTTCCCAAAAAACTAAGCTTTACAGATTTCTAGTAGCATTTTAGAAGAATAATATAGAAAAAGTCCGGCTAAGGGATGGCCTACCTTTTTGCTCCTTTTTATTTATTTGACTATTTGGGGTCTACTAAAAAGTAGCTTAGAAGAATATTAACAGTAATAGTACAACCTTAAATTCACTAGTTATATATACTTTATATACCTAACCAGTTAATAAATTTCGTCGTTAGCTATAATAATAATAAGGAAGTTAATAACGATAATACAACTAACTATATAACTAATTAGGACCTATTTAAAATTCAAATTAAACAACTGGATATCGGTATAACTTATTATTCTCTCTATAAATTTATACATAAAGTTAAATAGTTAAAACTAGAGGAAGCCTAGCGAAAAAAGATGGAACTAGTTATTTAAGAATAGTTTAATATACCCTACTTTCGTCGAACAATACTTAACTATTTGTAGGAACCTTACTACAATCTAAATTTGGAGTATAAGCGCCCTATCCCTAATAGGAAGTATTATAATAGCTTTAACTATAATATACAACTTAAAAGAATCCCTTTAATACTAATTCGGGTAAAAATAAAGGATAAAACATTTAATAAGCCAACTATTAGCAGTCTTGCTAATATAGTTGCTATCTGTTTATTTAAATAGTATAAGAGGTATACCTAGGTATTAGTTCCCGTTGAATTACGAACTTTTGAGGTAATTTTAGAAATGTTCATACTTCGCAAGCTTTAAAATGCTATAGTACGGTTGTTAGCCGAAGGTCGAAGGAAGCTATTAAAGCTACTCTTTAATAATATAGCCGGGTTGGACGAGAAGTTCCCTAAATTTAGAATTCAATAGTAGTAATACTATTAATATATAGAAGGATTGGTTAATTTCCATAAAGAATCTATTACTAATATTTATAAAGAATAGGAAGCTTTTAAGGATAAAGGCGCAAAGCTAGCCGCTATTACTATTGCTACTTCTATTATTACTACTATAGGTTAGTGAATTAACCTAACTCCCGCCAATCGGTCTATCCTCTCTTCTTTAGCTTCTTTAAGAGATTATAAGGTTATTAATATAAGAATAGAGAATTAGTAAAAGTAAATAATAGAATAGAAAATAGCAAGAGAGAAAGCTACTTAACAAATAGAAACTACTACTACTTAAGCTACTACTATTTAAATTATTAAGGGCGTTAGAATAGATAAAGCAAATGAAGCAAGGGAAGCAATTAAGCCCGCTCAACCAGCAATTCAATTATTTATACCAATATAGAGATTTACTATACTAGCTCAAATTATACCTATCCCCGTACTAAGACCGGGGACTCCCGTACTAATAGCTATTCCCAAACCTTCTAAAACATTACAAAGAGCGCCAGTTCAAGCAGCTCAACCAACTACTTCTATACTATTTTTATTATTTAATATAGGAGCTTAATAATTAATAGAGGAGATAATACTAGGAAAATAAGCAATTGCTGAACTTACACCAATAAAATAAGTAGTTCGTCAAACGCTATCTTTCTAAGACTTACTTCAATAATATTATATATAAGTAGTAATATTTCCCTTCGTATTAATAATAGCAATTATTTCTACTAATAAAATTATTGTTGCTAGTTTACTAATAATTGCTTCTAGTAGAAAGCGAACTAGTAGTATAAGGACCCCTATTATTAGCTTACTAGCGTATAAAAAGTAGAAAGATTAGGTATAATTATCGTAATAATATAATGATAATAATAATATTAATTTTTATCACTGACTATATATAATATTATTAAGTAGAACCTATATACTAAGACGGGAAGCTATTTAGCGCTAAGATTCGGACTTAGGGGTAGAATACTAGCTAAAAATATTATTAGATTTGACTCTTCTTGTAAAATTTCTATTATTACATCTATAAATTTAATTATACTTTATAAATACTCTTAAAACGCTCTAATTAACCTATATAATCTACCTCAAATTACTTTACTATTACTAACCCTCCCCGGGGTACTATAGGGACGCCCGTAATATAATAGTATAGAGGACGCTCCCACCGCTACTAGTATAAGTATATAGAGAGTTCTCGTATTCAATTTCTTACTAGTAACTTATTTTTCTCCTTAAACATTCAATTATTATACTACTAACGTTTTTTAAATACTCCTCATCTTCTAATCTATCTATTGTGGGTGTCTATTATCCGGGGGAATAGGAGATGTAAGACCGCTGTAAAATATACTATCTTTCGGTACTATTAATAGTTGCTCTGAAAAAGGGTATACTATAAGGTATTCAATTAGAGTGTACGGAATAAATCGAGCTAAACTCCTTTTTTTTTTTATTACTTCTACTTTATATATCTAATATTATAAATACTTATTATATTATCTTATATCTCTTTATTATCATCCTCGAATTTATAATCCTATAAATTATTATTATTATTGAAGCCGCGTACGCCTTCTTCGCTAAAATCTAATATACTATCTTAGCTTACAAAGGTAGCTATACTAAGTAAATATTTCTAATTAACAATATTAACCGGGATAGGCATAACCTTATTCTACTTATCCAATTTTTTAAGAAGGTAGATTTAACCTAAAGCAAAGAGATCTGGTGTATTAAAGGTATTAAGGTTCATCTCCAGCTCCTCTATACTAATTTTCTTCTTTATTATTCCATTACTATACAATTTCAGTATATATAATATAATATTAATAAAGGGGTCGCTGGTTATATAAATACTTCAAATAATACGTTCCTAAAGACGTTCCGTTTTTTTATAAATAGTGGCGAGGATATTAGAATTAAGAGTAAATTATAAAAGTGTAGCTTCAATATTGTACGTAGAATTCTTATTATTCTTAATATTTATTGTATAAATTATATTCTAATATTCGAATATAATATTAATAGCTTTATATCGATTATTAATTATAATATAGCGAATTAAACCGCTCTTTATAATAGCTTCTCTAAGATTCTTATTTGTAATGCTTAAATATGAAAGCTATATAAAATATAATATTTCTGGCCTATAATTTATTAATCCACCGCCCTAGAAAAGGATTGGGAGTATAGGTACAATATTTTAAAGAAGGCTATAATCTCCTATACGAACTACCTCGTAGATAGGTAAAAGAAGTTCGATAACTTATATTAACCTACATTGACTGCGAAATTCTATATTAATGGGATAATTATCATTGTTGTTAATATTATTATAATATTTGCTAGTCCAACCTTTAGTAGTAAAGACGGTGTCCTAAATATAGCTGAGTATTTCCTACAAGTCGGTCGCTCCTTCCTCTTCTTCCACGAACAAATTTTCTATTGCCTTTTAAATACTATTAATATTTAATTCTATAAGATTTTTATATTAGATTAATTTATTAATAATAAAGGTAAAAATACGAATAGTAAAGCTATATATTAATACGGGTATAGCTAAGTAATACTTGGTATTTATTTTAGTAATCTTTCTTTAGCGCTAGAAAAAAAAGATATTTAAAGATAGAGTAGCATTCGATTGACCGGGTTTATTTTTATTATCTTAGAAATTTCAGAAGATTATTCTAATAAGATTGGTTTTAATATAAAAGAAGGTTAGGACTGAGAGTATTTATTTTCATTATTCCTATTAAATACTAGATTCCAACTCTTTATATTGAATACGATGGATAAAAAACGTTGTTTTTTAATTACTATAAATAAAAATTAAGCGATTAATAAGTTCTTAACAATTAATAGTAAGCTGGTTGTCCTATAATTCTTTATAGATTCTGTAAACCCCTTCTAATTTACCCTCGTCCTTATAAGTCGCGCTAATTTAAAGATATAGCAAATTTTTATATTTTACCCTTTTAAAAGTAAGTATAGATAGTAATGCCTTAAGGTCCTTCTTTTTCCTAAAAAAGATATACTTAAGAGTATATTCTAATAGCTACTTTAATACTTCATATATACTCTAGTATTTAGGAAGTAAATATTTAATAATTATATTGAATATAAATAGCTATATATAGCGAATTAATAATTATTAAAGAGGACCGTATAATTCTAGGCAATATACTAAATAAGCTGTAATAAGGTTTACCATTTCGTTTTACTTACTACTAGCTATTTTAGGAATAGTATTCTTGAAATTAAAGTTATTATAAATGATAATACTATTGGGGTCTAATATAGCCCGTTTAAAATCCTACTTCGCTTTACTAGCTATTATATTAAATAGACGGTTGAATATAGTATAAGAAGAGATAATACTAATACTAGACAATATTTAAATAATTCTTCGAAGTGTACTACTAGAAAGAAGGTATAAACTAAAAATACGGCGTATAAATATATTAGTATTTTTAATATACCTAGCTATTATAATAGTAGTTATAAAGACAATACGGCTATTATACTCTTTAATAACTATAGTACCGCTAATAAATTCTCTCTTATTCCGCTAGTTTCTTATTGCTTGTAATAGAAAAGCTACTAGTTTTGGCATATATTCTTTGAGCGTTAGCTATACCTAATTTAAAGTTTCCTCTAATTAGGAGGAATTATTGAGTTTAGAGATATTAGTTGGTTTATTACCCTAAAAGATATTCTCTAATTTAAATTGCTTAGATACTAGTTTATAAAGAAGAGATTATATCTCTTCACATATTGTAAATATACTATAGTTTAGTCCATCTATAGCTTTTATTAGGAATACGGTAATACTAATATACTTTAAGGCTTCCTATACTTCGTTATTAAGTAAAATATTAGCTAATTACGTACTTCTTCGGTTATTTTTAAACTATTAAAATAAGAAAGACTTTATACTATAATTCTTAAGCGGTATATTAGGGCGCTTATTCTTATTAAAAACTGTACGTATTATATTCTATATTCTAAAGGTCTTAAATATAATATTATAATCTATATTATCGATTAGAAACCTAGGATTATCTAATTCTAATATATCTAACCGATTTAAAACTGCCCCTAGTTCTAGTAATTCGAGGGGGGGAGGATTGGATATAATTAATA